TAGGCTTTGCTGAGCTTTGCAGCATTCCGACTGTATGGTTCTCGGGTCGTGCGCTCGTCGTAATTCGAGAAAGCAAGAATCACATCCGGAGCTGGTCAAGCAAGACAGACGTCCAGTCTCACTTTGGCAGAATCGCAGGTTGAAGAGTATCTGGCCTGCTCAAGCAGAAGAAGCAGAAAACTTTCAGACACAAGTATGGCCGCACTGCTTCTTCTCGTCTCTGTTTTGATTTCACGTCTTGGAGCATGTCAGCAACAGCACAATTGGGCACAATACGTCAATCCATTCATTGGTGGCGAGGGCGTCATCCCAGGCCTCGCGTACGGCGGCGGCGATATTTTCGTTGGCGCTTCTCGCCCTTTCAGTCTTGCCAAGGTCGGAATCGACACTTACGAGCCCAATATCTCCTTTGCTTCCATCAATGGCGGCTGGACACCTCAAGGCATTGTTACGGGCATCAGTATGATGCATGTAAGCGGAACGGGTGGAGCGCCGAAGTACGGGATTATTTCGCAGATGCCATTGACAAGTCTAGAGGAAGATGTCAATTTGCTTGATAATACGACTTATTGGCAAAAGAGAGTCAACGGGAGTGAGAGCGCGAGTGTGGGATTTTACGGCACGACGTTGGAGAATGGAGTGAGACTGGAGGTTGCTAGTGGTAGGAGGAGTGGATTACTCCAATACGGATTCCCGAGAAACTTACAAGAGCAGCACGTTCTGGTTGACGTCTCTCACTTGTTACCAGAGTTACAAGGAAGAAATACTGGACAATTCTACGCTGGAGGCTCATTTTCATTGGAAGATGGCGGGAGGCGGTATTTTGGTTGGGGATCCTACGGGGGAGGCTTCAGCAACAGTGCTCCAGCCACGACGTACTTTTGCGGTGAGTTCGATCAGACTCCGGCCCAGGCAAGGACTTTTCGAGGAAGGAACACGATGCCTGTCATGAGGCAGCATACATTAGCGAATGAGCCGATCCCTTATCCAACCTTTCGGAACAGGACGAAAGAGGAGTCGGGACCGCTGACGGATCGTGTTGGAGCGATCTTCTCGTGGTCCATAGAATCCTCCAATGTCATCAAGTCGAGGATTGGAATATCCTTCATGTCGGCGGAACAGGCTTGTTCGAACAAGGATGAAGAAATCGAGAGCTGGGAACTGCAGGATCTGGTCGACGAGGCTGTAGAAGAGTGGAATCGCGATGTGTTCAGCAGGATACAGGTTCCAGTGGATGAGTCTCAGAACCGGACGGATCTCGCTCTGTTATATTCGAACATGTACTTCGCCCATTTGATGCCATCTGATCGACGTGGCGAAAATCCTTTATCGGAAGCAGAGGACCATTGGGATGATTTCTATACGGCTTGGTGAGTGGACCATTTTCTGAAGTGGTGAAAATGCCACCGCTAATGACAATTCCTGCATGTTAGGGACATCTTTCGATGTACCACTTCACTGTACCATCTGATTCAACCCGAGAGGTATCAGAGTATGATACGTGCGCTGATCGATATCTGGAAGATTGAAGGATACTTGCCTGACGGTCGCAGTGGGGAGTACAACGGTCTGGTCCAGGGAGGGTCGAATGCCGACAACATACTTGCGGACGCATACGTGAAGAACTTGCCCGACATCAACTGGAAAGAAGCCTACCAGGCAATGGTCAAAGACGCCGAAGTGATGCCGTTCAACGATTTCTCATATCGAGCTCAGGATGCAAGTAATGAACACGGCCGAGGAGCGCTCGACGACTGGCTGGAGCTAGGCTATGTCTCGGTCGATCATTACTCTCGCATGATATCGCGAACGATCGAGTACTCCCTCAACGACTTCAGCCTCTCCCAAGTCGCCCGGGGCATCGCCCCCGACGATGTCACCAAATACCTCAACCGTAGCTCCAACTGGCAGAATATTTGGGCCCACAATCTTACCCACAAATCATTCACCGGCTTTCCAGCCCCTCGTCTCTCGAACGGCCAATTCAACCTGACAGACTACAATCCCGCCAAGTGCGGCGACTGCTCCTGGAAAAGCCTCACATACGAAGCCACGCCATTTGAGTACGCTTTTACTGTTCCACAGGAAATGTCAACTCTCATCGAGTTCATGGGCGGGCCCTCAGAATTCGAACGCCGCCTAGAATATATCTTCGATCCCACCAGTGGAGAAGAAGACCTGGGAGCGAACGGAGCCGGCATTACGACGATCATGAATATCGGGAATGAGCCTGATTTTGCTACGCCATATGAATTCCACTATATCAACAAACAAACCAAGTCAGTGAGATACTCCCGTGAACTCGGAGATCAATACTTCAAGAACGCCACTTATGGAATCCCGGGCAACTCCGATGCAGGTGCGATCAATAGCTGGATGATTTGGCTTATGATTGGAATGTACCCTGTGGTCACGCAGCCGGTGTATCTGATTGGGAGTCCTTGGTTCAGCGATATCAATATTACTGTGAATGTTGACAAGACATTGAGGGTGAAAGCGGAGACTTTGGACAACGCAGAGAGATATTTCGTGAAGAAGGTGAAGATCAATGGGCAAGAATGGGAGAAGAACTGGTTTAAGCATGACGATTTGATGGTTGAGGGAGGTGTGATTGAGTTTGAGATGGGGAGTGAAATGGTGGAGTGGGAGAAAGGTGTGGTACCGCCTAGCCCAGGGCATGTTGAGAGGGAGAGGGTGAAGTAGGCAGAACTTTGTGAGCACGTCATCTCGATCGAGAGGGCTCCTGGATGCTCACACACAGGCTATAGACTCCAAGTGCTGGCCGCAGAATTGTTATCCACTCAAGCCACTACTACTCGTATTCCACGTTGTCCTTGGCATGCCTATGTTCTGGGCTTGCGCTACGTCTGAGCATATGCCAAGGTCCGCGGGCCCCAGCTCTCGGCATGGCTTACCATTGCTGCTCAGACTATATTAGAGCTAGTATAGCAAGTCGGCCCAACGAGTCAAGCGCCAACTCGACAGTGCACGTGGGGTTCGGACCATACTCCTATTGCCACAAGCCGGCCTAGGCATGAACGTAGAAGGTGTCGCTTATGAGCTATGTACATTCCACGTATGAGCTGTAACTATTCGAAACTCAAAAGCAGAGGTCAAAGATCTACGCAGAGACCCAAGGCTCGGTCTTAGCATTCACGAGAAACTATCGAAAGTCAGAATGTGGCTACTGGCAGACCCTTAGGGCATGGGACTTTGTATCTTCTATCCTGTGATGCTGATTCGTGCTTGACACACGTGGCATCCCCGTGGCCGCGGATGTACTCGACCTTGGCAGAAGACTTCGTGCGCAAAACATGAAATGTTATAGGCTGGCGATGGTATAGTGTCCTGGATGCCCGAAAGAATCAAGAGCCATGGCAGCATGAGCTCGGGCTATGTATCTTGGGTAGCGATAGGATGTAGCAATGAGACTGTTGATCTGTCCATGGCAGCAACAATTCGAGGAATTTGCAGTGCGCCTTCCAGGTAGCGAGAGTGATGGGCACAAATTTGTGCAGCGTTGTCCGCGGACATATAAGTGCACTGATTTCAATCGTTCGAAATAAGTCACCGCGAGTTCATCAGTCGGAAGCAACAACAACGCTTCTTCACAACGTATCACCATGCGCTTCTTTGCCCTTCTGCTCGCCACTGGCACGGCAGTGCTTGCTGCTCCAAGTGTACAAACCCGTCAAGCAGACGAAGTTGTTCCGGACCGCTGGATCGTTCAGGTACGAGGCACTTCCGACATAGAGAGTGTGCTCGCAGCAGCCACGGATCTCCTTCGATTGAGACGGCCTCTGGAGGCCGACTTGCAATATGATATCAACCAGGACTACAAGGGCTTTGTCATCGAGGCCAACGAATCCATGGTCCGAGTTCTGGCCACTCTACCCGACGTTCTGGCGTATGAACCTGATGTCTGGATGACGGGTGCAGATGGCGCTCCTGCTGAAGATTCTTGGAAGAGACAAGCCGCATCAGGAGAATGGGCCGCAGAACCTACCGGAACATGGGGCACCCAGTCCTCACAGTCCCCAGCTGGTCTGAGTAGCGCAGAAGGTGGCTTTCAGGCTACAGCGCAGCAGAATGTGTTCACACAGTCCGGAGCTGAATGGCATCTTGCTCGTCTGTCCAATCGCCCACCAGGTAGTACAGACTACTCTTTCCATGCATCCGCTGGACAGGGCTCAGTCGTGTATGTCATGGATTCGGTATGTGATCCCCGAACAGAAGTGCACAACTGTTGCTGATGCGTCCTGTGCCAGGGAATTGAGATTCGGCAACCTGATTTCGGAGGCCGAGCTTTTCATGGTGCAAATTTTGTGCCAGGTGAACCCATCTGGGATGAATTTGGTCACGGAACACATGTGGCAGGTGAGCTCATAGCCAGTAAGGACGTCAAGCTGCTCCAGTTGAGCTGATTGCTTACAGGTACCGTCATGTCCGGTCAGTTCGGTGTCGCAAAGCTGGCAGAAGCTGTCAATATCAAGGTCTTGAACAGAAACAACCAAGGCCAGCTTTCGTGGTTCTTAGCTGGAGTCAACTGGGCTTATCGCGACATGTTCCGCACTGGTCTCTTTGGCCTTTCTATTCTCAATCTTTCCCTTGGTAAGCGAACATTGTTCCCGCCCTCTCAATCCGCGCTGACTAAGCCCAGGTGGTCGCTCCAACGCACAGTTCAACGCTGCCGTGAACGCAGCGGGCAGAGATGGTCTTATAATTGTGGCAGCAGCAGGAAACGACAACATCGACGCAAGACAGATCTCGCCAGCGAACGCCGCAGAAGTCTGTACAGTAGGCGCTACCAACATCAACGACGACCGATATCTCTCTCAAGGAGGTGGATCGAATTTTGGTCCTGCATTGAACGTGTTTGCACCGGGCGAGAACATCACATCGTACCTCCATACTGGGCCCGGGGTGGCAGTTCCGTGGACGGGCACGAGTTTTGCTGCCCCTGCGGTGTCCGGACTTGCGGCATACTTGGCTGTGCTTGTGAATGGACAATTTGACTCCAGACGCATGTGCGAGTTTATCATGGAGTTGGCTACACCTGGTATCGTTGGGCGACCGGGAGCGGGCTCGCCAAATTTGATGGCTAATAATGGTATCTTTGGCTGAGGTACTATAGCACTGCCTGGAAAGCAAGAGAATCTCGATGACGGAAGGAGAACGTGAAGTATGATATATCGTGTTGCTGTTAGGCACATCGAAAGGTCTCGATCATTTCTTCACCTTCTCGATTTCAACCCTTTCGAGATACCTTGCTCTGGGTCGTGTCTGGTCTGGGCCGGTATCTCGCGTACTGGACGTCGCACGTCTTTTGAGGTGTCGATACAAAGCATTGCTCGATCCCTTGTTCACTGCAGATGGACATACACTTTGGAAATGAGCGAGAGCAGATGCGAGCTCCTGCCGAGTGGCGGCCCCAATGGTTGCGCAGACAAAGAACGCCGGTCACTTGATTGATTCAATGGGGCTCATTATTGTTCAGCTACCTTGTTGCTGTGCATTATCCATGGGCTTCCTGAACCATCAGACATATTGTATACCTGCACGTCGCCGCGATCCATTGTTGTCAACCAGAAGAAGCTGACAGGCAGCTCTATGGACTGAAGCTTGAGTTGAATGATACTCCCAAGTGATAAATCTTCTGTCAGGGCTTAGCGATGGCTGTCACTGGAGATACGTTCGGCACAGCTCACAATTGGGTATCTCAACAAGTACTCTCAGGAGGCTCGCTGCAAACATTGGTCCTCAAGTTGCAGTTTCCACATCGTTGCGCGAAGCAGTCTGTGTCCATGAAGCAGCCCACGGAAGAGCAGGTATTGCACTGAGTTGCATTAGTTCTTGCGATGCAGTGACCAATTGAGGGCTCTGACCTGACGAGTGAGCAGCTGCGGGTGTGCTTCGACCGAGCATATCAGGGCAATGATAGCCACTGCGATGGAAAGAGGTAGCATGGTTGGCAATCTCATCTTGTTGGTAGTATGATCGAATTGCGTAGAAAGAGAGGCTGTGGGGGTTTGTCTTCTTGCGTTCACGACACTTCCTTAAATGTTGCCTTCAACGGTGTCGCTCATAGACTTTGAGACTCCACTTCAATGCCGTGTGTGCACAGTGATCCGAAGCTCTGCCATCATGGTGTATGCTGTGCCGCACGCGTGCGATACGTACGGAGAGACCCCCGAGCTGAACGCTTCGAGGCTGCAGTGCGGCGTACCCTGTGGACAGTGGGTCTATTGGTCTCGGCGTCCGCATCCGGTATCTTGCTTGGCGAAGACTTCATGTACACACCGGTCAGGTCATGTGTACTGCATAAACAGCACTTACATCTGACTTGCGGATCAGGTACCCCTGGAGTTCGCCGATCATGCCGTCAACCAACCGCCAAGATGCAATACAATGTGAACATCACTGGGGCTCGAAGCCTTGGTTCCGAGAAGTCTTCTTGGCGATACTGTGCCGCAACAGATTCACAACGCAAGAGGAGACATTGGCCCGAGTCGGCCCATGGAACGCCGCATTCTCCAGAATTTGGTGGATGCGATCAGAATCGTCGGCGGTTTTCTCACAGCGGACATCCATGTAGACGTTACATCGCCTGGGTGGTTTGAGGATCGAATGTGATGATTCCTTTGCAGACGCCGACAGAGCCTGCCCACATGATCTAGTAGCGTTGTCTCGTAGCCATGATGAGTCTCCATATTCGTGCTTTGCATGACGTTCCATTGAACTCACGATCTGCGTCAGTCAAAGCATTGTCGCTCCCGTGATTCACAGGACGGATGAATGTTGCTGATGGCGCAGCATGAGGACATAAATACGCCCCGAATGAGCCTGCCTCAGCTTTGAAAGACACCACATTCCGACACATAGCCACCTCTCCATCGAAAACACCCACTCCATACTCAGAAAATGGCTCTCTCTTCGAACATTGTTGTCACAGCACTGGCAATCTGGTCGCTATGCTGCACCTCAGCACGGGGCTGGAATGTGACATCCAACCATCCAGAGTTTCTCACTGACGACCTGGAATCTCAAGTCCTTCGTCTCGTCTCGGACACCACATCCCTCTCTCTGGATGGCACGGGTGCACAAATCGATGCAATTCACTTCGGAACGCTGGAAGATGCTTGGGCCGCCAACTTGCTCGGCTCCAAACTCGAGAGACTCTCCGATTCTCTCTCCGCGTCCGGACTCATCAACGACATCATCGGTAGACAAGTACAGACTGCTTGCGGACAACCAAATTGCGATACGCCGCAGTCAGCGCAGGATCAGATTGCCAGCTTGGAGGTCAATCGCCGAACCATCATCGCGGCCTGTGGAGCAATCAATTGGGCCGGAATCCCTACTGGAATCACACTTGCGAGTATTGTGGTGTCTGGCCTTCTCTGCAATGGCGGCATTAGGTGCCAGATCGTCATCGGCATCGCGCTGAGTGCGGGTCAGACCGGCTTGGTGTCGTTGACTCAAAGCAAATGCGAGGGATTGTTGCAAGAAACCGCGGAGCGATGCGAGGGATATGGAGGCAGCGCTACATGCCAGATCCTGGACGGTAGCGACCGGTCCACAATTGGACACTCGAAGTCGGTCTCAACTGAATTTGTCGACGCACTTGGGCCTTGCCGTGAGAATGCAGACGCCGAGTGTGCATCTGTCGAGATTGATGCTTGAACGACGGATGTCGCTAGGGAACGAAGGAGCTTTGCGAAGTTGCATCTAAGTTTGATGATCGGTGACATCGTTGATGGAAGTAGGTTAAGGATTTTCGACATGTTGAGCATGTAATACAAAGTAAATGGCAGTAGTATCTGGTACTTCAGGCGTGTAACATGTGACGATCGCCAGAATGTAAACTGTTTCTGATGCGATGGATGCTCATCTGAGAGTCGCACCCATCATAGCGAAGGCTGTGTAGAAAGCAGTAATCTAAAAGATAGCTTCTTTGGCAAAAGCAATCGCCGAAAACCACCTCTTCTCCGCAAATCACCGCCTCGGCACTTTGGCCTGGCGCAGAGCAACGCAGCGTTACAGTGAGCTGTCCAAGACACGACTGTGTGTACTTCCTGCCATGGATGTTGGGTCACTGGCGACATCAACGTAGACACCTGCCTGGAGTTTACCCCATGCGCTGTAAGCTCGGAGTCCCGAACTTGGATGGAACCAAAACGCAGACGAGGCCAGCGAGGAGCAGAAGACTTGTCGCCGGGACGAGCTGAGCCCAATACGAATTGCTTCTTCCATGAATCTTTCGCCAGAGACATATTTCAATAGCGAAACTCAAGAAGAGGATGGCCAAGAATTGGGAGCCATTCAATGCACCTTCCTGCTTCGATGCCTTTGCAGCGGCGGCTCTTGCCATATCTGAGTACTCGAAAAGCCATGCCGGAAGCAGGAACAGTGATTCAACGACGCCGAGGAATATATGACCCAATGCTCCCAGTGGCGACATTGGTCTTTTGCAGAACAGCACTGCGAAAGTGCCAAGAATTGCGTTGCTTGTGGCAAAGTATAACCAACAGCGGAGGTCCATACTGAGCCCTACAGCCAGACACCATAGGAGTGCGTTCGCGAGAAATACGAATGCAAGGCTCACCGTAATCTGAGCATGCAGAGTCAGATTCTCGTGGTCCGCAAGTGGTGGCTGTTGAGCGGAGCTTGCGGTAAGATCGGGTTCCGCAGGTTCGGATTCTCGAGTGAAGCGAAATTTGCCACATATCCAGCATATCACGGCATTGGCGACACATGCTTTGACCCAAATGCCATTTTCTGGCGAGAGGAACATTGCGAGCGTTGCGATTGCGGCGGCGGTATTCAGTAACAAGACACTGCGTCCAGCCAAATCTCTTGCGAAGCGCAAAGAGGAGGTCGCGGGGGCTTGGTCCTCCTTCCTATCGGCGTTGTAGGATGCTGGAGGCTCCGGTACGCGAGGCCATGATTCAAGGACCTGTGGGACAATGCGCTCGACGGTGCTGTACAAACAGTCCAGAGGCGCCAGATTCTGCCATTGTGGTCCCGCGTAGAATCCCGTGTCGATCGCTGCATTTACGCCCACGGTGAAGAAGCAGAAAAAAGCTGAGACTGCGTTCCAATTCAACATTCCGCAAATCTGCAAGATGGTTCTGGCGGCTGTGAGGGTGAGAAGTATCGAGATCTCGGAGTGCAACGAATTGTTGAGTGTCATTGAATCTGAGGAACGACCAGGGATATCGGCGACGTGCATCGCCGGGCTACGGCACAGTTGCTGGGCATCGTCATTCTGGGTCTTTCATATCCTGTGGCACAGCACTGGACCAGTGACTCTCCATAATTTCCTGGAAAACGCACTCCGCACCACAAGCGTCGGAGAGCAATGATTGTGTCAGATTAAGACAAGTGTACAGTATTCCCCTGCCCAGATGAAAAGGATGGTTTGATGCCGCTCGTTGCGGTAGGCGGAGTGCCGGTGAAGTGGAAGACTGGCAATGGTGGTATGTTGTGACAGAGTCGTCGGCCCGCCGCCAAGACCTCGGGCCGTGCCTCAACCGGCGCCTTTGTTGTTCCTCCTCCTGCTCCTCCACCACCACCACCTCCTCCTCCTCCTGCTCCTCCGTCATCTCAATCTGATTGGAATGAAGGGATTCAATCCTACGCCGATGCCATCCACCGTGACATCTAGACGTCGCTGCCATTGGGCCTCATATTCCAAAGGTGATCGGCAGCGATGGCATTGTCTTGTCGGCTCCTATCATTTTTATGAGATCCAGGCTCACAGGCTATAGTCTCCCCACGGGAGGTTGTCCACAGCGATGATCAGATCCTGAGATCACTGCTCATAGTGCGCAGTCTAAGTGATAGGCGCCTTGGCGGCAGGGCGTACGAATTGATAAGGGTGGGACAGGTGATTGAGCGAGTTGAACGGATCAGATTGTCAGCGCGGAGGGAGACCGCATTCACGCTTGACATCGACCCAAGACGGCCGCCGGTCGTTTATTATGTGTTTCCCGTTATAGGAAATACAGTCAGCCTTGCCAGCGAGCTTACTTCATTTTTCGCAACGGTCCTGTACCTGCGAGTCGCGAAAACCATGACAGAGACTCAAGGCTAACACTTTAGACGGGCATACACTGAGCAGCAAGACCGCTGGTAATAGGCCCTAAGAACATGCCGGCTTTATTGACACTCTCCGAATTGACATTTGCGAGAGAGGAACGTTTAGTTCAGCGAAAGGGACGACTTCCACGAAGACACGACGGCTGCGATGGATGCGAAAACCCTCTGGGCCACCGTTATACACCTCCTCCCCATGCAACATGATGCATTATTGTCTCCGACGCACCGGGCCTCATGAAGCGTGTCCGAGGAGAGCTCGAGAGCATTGACTACATTGCTGGAGACTGGGATAAGATCGCGAAGTTGCAGAAACCATGCGCCCGCGAACCAATACTGTGACATTGTTTCTCGTCCCACGCAAAAGTGGTAGTCAACGAATAGCAACAGCTTTGGCCAGATCGCTTCCTCGGGTATCCTCATGATATACACAGTGGTCCTGCCTCGCGTCGAGCCTGGACAATTGCATACTGGGAGGCGCTCATCAAAGATTTCGTGCAGCTTCGCTGTTAGCAAAATGTTGAGAAATATGGTAGGTTGTACGTTACCGTTTGGTCATGTGAAATTGACTACAATATACGTAAAAGGGTCACTCTACAACGAGAAACCAACTTTGTCGAACAGACCTGGCATCACATATACTCTGGAAGCATACTGGAGACATACTTGCTTCATCTTGCGACTCTAGCCAATCGAAATTGCTTCGTGTGCGAAGGTGCTGATCACCTTGCATATTCCACAACGGCCTAACAAGACTAGTCGAGGTCACAATATACTTGCGACAGCACTGTGCTAGCACTGAAGATGTCTAGCAGCTGACGTACCTCGTATTTCAAGACTTTTGATCTGCATCGCCAGACTTGACCTTCTATTTTGCACCTAGCTTGATGCGCCAAGTCGCTCGCCATCTGTAACCGAAGCCGTTCTTGATACCAGGCCTTGGCACGATGTAACCTTCCACACAGAAGATCACGTCTTGGGAACGACGATCACCGCTGCTATAAGTAGACGCTTCTCACGTTGCACAAATCTGCACGAGCGCTGCATCGGGCACCATATTCTTTCCGAGGTACTTTCAACATGAGGTTCTATACAGCTGTTGCAGCACTGGTCGTTGGCTCTGTGTCAGCGAGAGTCGTCCGGAAACAAGAGTCTGCTGGCACAGAGAAACAAGAATGGATCGTCCAAGTGAGCAAAGACACCGCGGTCGCGGATGTTTTCGCCCAGGCCAATAGCTTCTTGCGCTCCGCCCAGCCCATCACTCCAGACCGCACCTACGAGTTCGATGGTTTCCATGGTTTCTCAATCTCCACATCGGAGTCTGTTCTGGAGAGCCTACAGTCGCAGGGGCTAATCACCAAGTTCCACCCCAATAATGAAATCTGGCTTGATCAAGCACCAATCGAAACACAACATAATGCACCTTACAATTTGGCTCGTATCAGCAGCCGCGTTCCTGGTACGACAGAGTACAAATATCAAGCCGAGCCTGGCAAAGGGACCTTCATTTACATCTTCGACACTGGTGTCAACATCGACCATGAAGACTTCGAAGGCCGAGCCTATCACGGTGCCAATTTCTCTTCCGATCAAACGCCAGAAGACCTCGACGGCCATGGAACCTCTGTCGCTGGCTTAGCTGCAGGGCGGCGATGGGGCGTTGCTAAAGATGCAACGATCATCAATGTCAAAGTCATCGGCAGTCTCGGCGGCACAACTGCTGATATTCTTTCTGGACTGGAATGGACGATTAATGACGCGCAATCAAAGAATCGCATCGGACGTGCAGTAGCCAATCTTTCTCTCGGCAGCTTTCGCTCAGAAATCATGAACGACGGTGTGGAAGCTATGGTTCAAGCCGGCATTTTCGTTGTTGTGGCTGCTGGAAATAGTAATGATGACGCGAGTCTTTACTCGCCCGGGACTGCCGAGGGCGCATGCAATATTGCTTGCTCGAATGCCACTGATGGAAGAACATTCTTCTCGAACTGGGGTTCTGCTATTGACTTGTTTGGACCTGGAGCTGCTGTTGAGTCGCCGAGTCATCTCTCGAATACTGGTACACGAGTCACTTCTGGAACAAGCGAGGCAGCACCTCAGGTTGCAGGTCTGGGGGCGTATTTGATTGGTGTGGAAGGCCCGACTTTTGGTGGTGTGCTTTGTGATCGTATGAAGGAGTTGGCTACGAGAGATGTAATTACTGATCCGAAGGGAAGCCCCAGCTTGCTGGTTTACAATGGCGTGGCGTAGACTAGGCTCTGCTCATCGCAGAACATTACTACAGCGACAACAGCACGCTTTCTGTGTTCTCTTCAGTCTGCTCGTCCCAATGCGCATACCACGCCAGATAGTCTTCCACGCTGTCGAAGAGCTCAGAACTGAAGACACCACGCTGGAAACCATACCTCCATCCCCAAAGGTCCGCCCTTCGATTCTCTTCGCGCTGCTGCTGGCGACAACAATAAAGTACGAACGTCCCATTCAAAAATTGTTCAGGCCAGCTGGACATATTGAAAGCAACGCTGGCATCCCATCCTTCGGTCGCCCATGTGTACCCAACAGCGTTATCGGGATTCCGAATGTTCTCATTTCTAAAAGCTGTTACGTCTTGCCAGTTTCCGAGCGATGGAATGCAGATCCTCTTTCGGTCGTCTCTAAACGAACCAAGCAAACCGAAATTGACCTTTTTGAAGACATCCGGGTGTTGCATTTCTCGCCAGTATGGTAAGCCAGCGCCAGTTATACCGCTGACAAGTGTTGTCAAGTATTTCAAGTCTTTGGGTAAGCTGGGTGGGAAAGTACTGATATGCTCCTCGTTACTCTGAATCATGTTCCAAAGCGAAGCCCACCAACGGTCCCGTGCGCTGAGGTCGACTGGATCGTGATCAACGCCATCAAGACAGAATAAAGCGATTATATCGTCTGCTGAACCTTCTAACAAGCTTTTTGCGGTTGACCATGTGATCTGATATTCGCACTCAAAGTGGTATTCCAATGCTTCTTCAATCCAATCACTCGAATGGCCTGGAGACAAGGCTTGCATTTCTTGTTCAGCTGCTTCTACGAGAATGGGTAACGCAAATAGATTCTAGTCCAACACTGTACGCCGGAAGTGCCGTAGAGCAATATCTATGCTCTCCCGCCGGCTCGCAGTCAAGTTGCTGGACAGATCAAATCGCTCGAGAGAGTCGCTGATTTGCTCGCTTTCAGAGCCGTCTTGCATGTTGATGTTTGGTTACAAGCGATCGTGCTGGTATGTGGCGTGGCAATTACGCTGACGAGAAATTGTGAGATTGGTACAACTATGTATACATTCGGAAGCATCGAAATTATCGATCTACTAGGCAGCAACAGAAGCCAACCAGCGTTGGCCAGCGCCGAGGTCTCGATCAACATGTCCACCAATCACATCTCGATGCCAATACCTATTGATACCACTGATTGAAAGCTACTGTGAGAAGGTCGTTGTTTGCCGTCGATGTCGCCTTGCTTAGTAAAGAGCTCATGATCCGAGAGTTTGGACTGGTTCCACAATCGTTGTGAGAAAGAGTTGCCTGTCTCGCCTCAAAATGCCTCCTTACATCAAACCTTTATTTTGCATGAATTTCTTCGTGTGAATGTTCTAGTACACAGGCATCTTGAATGCCGAGAACTCATAGGTCCAGCTTTCGATGCTTTCAGCATCAGTCACACAATCAAAAGTGCTGCTGTTACCGCTCCACAAAGGACGAGTCGGCCACTGGCAGAGCTCCTGAACTTCTCCTTCGTATGTGCCAGAAGCAACAGTGGCGTTGAGACGAGTGGGCTTGACATCATTCTCGACCCAAGCGATCATGGTTTGCATGTTGTCTTGCGGGTATGGACCTGGCTGGAGCGTATTCGCACTGCAGTGAGCAGCACCAGGAATCAAGTAGAATTGATACCAGTCCGAAAGAGCTTCTTGAGCCTCAGCGTCCGTCAAGTTCGCGTACATGATTTTGCGAACGGATTGCCAGTAGTGGACTGAAGACGCAGCTGGGACGGAGTTGTCGCTTTCGCCGTGGTAGTGGAGAAGCTTACCACCGGCCTGTTGAAAAGGTGTAAGATCTGGGAGCGTGGTTTGGAGGCTGTCGATGTATCTGTTCAGGCCAATGTCCATCCATTCGACGAGAGTGTCGTACGTGACGCCGTCGAGATCGGACAGGTTGTCGACGTCCAGCAACTGAATGAATTTGGTCACCCATGAGCCGCCAGTGGAAGGGATGTTCAATGTCCATGAGTCAGTAGTGTTATCATATGTCGGCTCGGCATCGCCGAGGTCAGATCCAACCTGCCAGGAAAGATATGCTTGCTCGCCAGCAGAGTTGTGTAGACCATCATAGACGCCCTGTGCCACTGCAACATCTTGAGCAGTGATTGTGCCATTCTGCTCTGGCGTACTGCTTGTCTGGCTGCCAGCCATTTGCCGCTTGGCCATCCTCCGCCCAAAGCCGAATCCCAGGGAAGAACTGGTGGTGGCTGCGCAATAGTAGCTCTCGCCGATGAGTGAGCTCAAGTTGAAGTTCAGCTTGCAGAGATCCGTTCGAGAAATCACGCCATCAGTGCGGCCATCCAGCGGGTCGCATGCAGCGATGGTGGCATTGACGATCTTTTGGAGAGCACATGGTGGTGGGTAATAGCCCATGGTATGCTCAATGGTTGCTGGAACGATGTGGTTGATTTGCTGGTGAGAGAATCGGAAGGCTGGCGCACCAGTGATCGCCCCATCGTACTCTTCACCCCATCGCTGGATTTGGCTCATGCCCTCTCGTCCTCCATCCGAGCACCCCTCGTAGTATGTGTAAACTTTGTCGTCCGCATCCATCCCATAGAAGCCTTTCGTAATGTACTTTCCAACTTTGGTCATCTCGCCCAGCGCGGTATAGCCGAAAGCGTATGTTGCATCCCAATTGATCGATCCATTGCCATAAAGGACGACCTCATCGAAGGAGTAGTTGAATGCATCATAGCCCGCATCTGTTGCGCCACCGACCGCGCCGTATGTGAGGCCGCCAGTAGCATCGCTCGATAAACTGTAGCCACCGCCTCCAGCGACATAGAAGCGGTCCTTGAAGTCGGACGGCTCAGGAAAAGCGTATTTCACAACCACTTTGTCGTCTTTGCCAGTGTGAGCGTAAGTCACCGTGACATTGCAATACGTGAAAGTCTCTGTGCTGCTGCTGCTGCTTCCGCCTGCCTGTCGTTTCATCACGCCACCGCCGGTTGTGGCATTGTAGACCGCGCTGGCTGTTACCGCACTTGGAATCAGATCGATGCCGAGCAGAGTTCCATTCGAGGGAAGTATGGCCTGAACGTTGGCGACGGTGCAGACATCGGCGAGTGATGTGCCATTCGATGCTCGAGTAATTAGCGGCGATGCTTCTGTCGCTGCGACGAGCCCAGAGACAAGGGCGAAACGTGCGTTGGAACGCATGGTTGCGATGATGAGAAATAAGAAATGGATTGTCGGCTGGTGTCTCTTCTCGAATCGAAACGGGTTGTCTCTAGGATCAAATACGAAGCCAGGCTATCGTAATTCGGCGATTTCTTGGTGAAGCGAAAAGAGTCTTGTGGAGCAGCATTGTTGGAGCCGCGCAATGCAAGACTACCAAGCCGCAGACTAGTGTACGCTCACGCGTGGTCCTGTGACAGGGCATGTCGTCGCATGCGTGGCTGGATAGCATCAGATAAGATGGCAAAATGTCGATCGATGTTTTGGCTTTGTTGCGTCGGAAAAGTGGTCGTGTCGGCCGAGATCTCGGAGCAACGCAGCCTGGCGTGGCTGCAGAATTCTTTTCTCACAACCGCCTCTTCTGGAGCATGTCCGCGTCCAGCGTCCGCTCTCGGAGTGTATCACAATGGCGCCACGCTTTGAGGTCTTGTGTGGAAAGTGGAGTGCCTACGCGGTCTGTTGACAGCATACTTAGATCTCCACGATGCCTTGGGCCGAGATGACGGAAAGCGACCCTGTAATGCTCTGGAACGCTCCGATTGGAGTAGAAGAATTACCACAATCAGTAGTAGTCATACTTTGTGTAATCAGCGCATGTCAGCCGCCATGTCCGGCATGTTCGGATTTAGGCCGAGTTTGAGCCTCGAGGTCTGCGAGTGCTGGACTGCAGGCCACGAGGGCTAGGCCTGGATAATTTGGACTGTGCACCGTGCAGCCGGTAACTTGGTACTGTACTGTTCAGGCGTATATCTGGTTGTCTTGACCGGTGGCAAAGTGCCAGTTCGAATTGAGCTGAGAGGCTGCGTAGTCCAGCGACGTAATCAGTTCCAAGCCGTCGATCGCAGCCAGTCCTGAAAAGATACCCTAACATGCGAGGACCGAACAGCATTTCTTCACGGCGGGCTGCCCTGGTCAACTGAAAACGTACGATCACATGGAGGATGTATGACTCCGGACTGCTGCGGTTGGTGAAAATTTGTCTTTAGGGTAAGTCGTCAAGCCAAGAGGAGGAAACTTGCTTGGCATGCCCTGATGGACATTCTTGGCGGATGGTACACAGTAGTGGTAGAGAATGGCAATGAAAGTCGTCTCGAAGTAGAGTATTGCACTACATCTTCCGGCAAGAGAAATGCGACTGGCACACCAGGCCCTGGGTGGTAATGTCAATTGGCTATAGTGCCAGCTTGCCTGGTTATAGGAAAGGAATCCACGATTGATTCGGAATTATGCAGCTTCTCTGATAGTCGAAAAAAAGTTGGTATACCTAATACTGTGCTTCATCGAAATCGTTCGGAATAGTTGTGTTTGTACCTACTCCTTTCGAGATGCAATTTATTGGTATTCGATCCTTCGATGGCTCGCACAACGATCATGACTCGTTTCAAGCTTCGATCATCTGTGAACCAGCCTGCTCAGATCTGTTCCGTTGTTGATTTTTGCGTATAACGAGAGCTTCTTCGCGGCACCGAAGTGAAAGTTGATGCCAAAGACGACCAATGGTATCGGATCTTGTCCGTCAGAATACGTCCATCAGTCGACTTGAAGTCATGGGCTTCGTCCGACACGAGTTCAGATTCAACGTTCTCCGATCGGACTATGCAACAAGAACCGGGTGCCTCCTTCGACAATGATCTTGAGAGCCTTGGGAGTTGTAACGCTGTAAATCGGCCGAAACGGGCTTCGGTAGTGTATGTGCCACACTCGCTTCACCGGTACGAAGTCCGAAACCCGGTGGCAAGGATGGGGAATCTCGCTTGTTTGGTGGTACAGAGACGCCTGCTCAGCGCGGAGAAGGTAGCACCGTTGCCGAACTTGCATCCTTCGATCTTGTGTTGTGTCAGTGTGGTTTGTCGCCGCAAATTTGCAGCTCAGCAACTACGATCTCCTAGCATCCTGACACTAGCTTCTATACCACGATGGGCTTCATCTACTCTCAGTTGCTGGCAAAATTGCCGTGCCCAGAGCAGCCTCAAACTGGAAGAACCGTAATCATCACAGGCTCCAATACTGGTCTTGGAAAAGAGGCAGCGAAGCATTTCGCTCGTCTTGGTGCCGGAAAACTCATTCTCGCCGTGCGATCGATCTCCAAAGGCGAAGCTGCTAAGGCGGACATCGATGCCGCGACGAAATGTGATAAGAATGTCATTGAGATATGGGAGCTGGACATGACCAGTTTCGATAGCGTGAAGCGATTCGCCAAAAGAGTCAACGATACGCTCGACCGGCTGGACGTTTTTATCGCAAATGCAGGAGTAGTGCGGAAAGAGTACCATTTGGCAGAAGGGCTCGAAGAGTCAATTACGGTGAACTACATCTCAACCTTTTTGCTCGCGGCCTTGGTCCTCCCAAAGATGAAGGAGACTGCCAACCTCTTTTCTATTCGGCCTACGCTTGCCATTACCAGCTCCGGTGCTCACGCACACAGCTCATTCCCACAGAAAGACCTGGCGCCAGAGGGCAAGCTCATCGAGACAATCAGTGATCGGGAAATGTGCACCAAATACTGGGATCAGCAATATCCACTCAGCAAAATGCTGGAAATCTTCGCCGTTCGCAGCATTGGAGAGCAATCGCCACAGCAAGTCTTCCCGGTAACTATAAATGCCGTAGATCCAGGGTTCTGTCATTCCGACTTGGCGAGAGAGCAGTCATCGTGGGTATTTTCGATTATGAAGACGGTTCTTGCGAGGACTACGGAGCAGGGCAGTCGTACACTGTTTCATGGCGGAAATGGTGACCGGCATACGCATGGGAGATATTTGAGTGATTGCGTTGTTGCTGAGCCTGCTGAGGTGGTTACGAAGAATGGTGATGTGCAAGAGAAGCTATGGAGTGAGCTCTGTGAAAGGCTGGAGAAGATCTCACCGGGAGTGATGGAGAACTTCAAGGCATAAACGATGCGAGGAGTGTCGAAGATGGCCATCATGGTTCTTATACAATTCTCAGCAGCTTGACGTGGATCGGACATTGTTGGAAACTTAATTATTGACGTAAGAGTATTACTCGCCCAGTAACATTTCGTTGCTGCTGACAGCGATGACTGTTCTCTATCCATCTGAAAAACACTCTCTCAATCTAGTTCCCCTTCTTTGTTGCTAGAATCAAACTTACCGGGAAAGTGACTTTTCGTTTCCCTCCCATCGCCTTCTTCAACTCAGACAGCATAACCTCAATGTCCGAGTACCGCTCTCCAGCCTTCTCACGGTAGTTGGGATACACAGACGTGAGGTAGTTAGCAATGTCCTCCACATCCCACTCATGTTGCCAGTATTGGGAGATGATTTTCTCGGCGGTAGTTTCTCCTTCTCCTCTGCGATCGACCCTCTTCAATTCAAAGTCGTAGCCCGAGCGGCTGTTGAAGAGCAAGTCTACATTGCTGTTCCACTTATGACGCTGCACAGACTCCCACTCCTGCGGATCAAATCCAATGTTGTCCATCCAGCTTCCCATCGTTTCTGCGGCACGGAGATGGAAACCCTCAGCCGGAGATCCAATGAAAGGAAGCAGGAATGTACAGATTCGGGTAGCAATGCAGTCGTACAAATCGTTCAATTCTGCTCGGTTTTCACCATCTGCGAACAGCGGTCTCCCGTAGAAGTAGATGGCGAGCGTGCCGGAAGGACGCAACAGCGTACGAAATGCTTCGAGACTTTTGACCCGATCCAAGAGCGGCATGCATTCGCTAACAACGACAAGATCTGTCTTTCCGTTGCCAACTTCTTGAGGCACAACACCATTACTCAGCTGTTCTGCTGGACTCTGAACGAATGTCATTCGCGAGAGCATAGGCTCCGAGATAAGTGTTGGAGCTGCGGCGAGAGCTTTGGCGTTGACATCGGATCCGACGATGCGAATGTAGTAGTTTGCGAGGCGCGTGGCGATATTTCCGGGCCCGGTACCAACATCGTGGGCAATTCCGCGACCAGTGTTGCCGTGGCTGTCATGGTATTCATTGATCAGCTGAAAGAAGTCTTCGCTAGGCGAAGGGCGAGAAGTAATGTAATCGTGCCAGAATTTGGTATCTGTGTCGATTGTAGCGAAGGGAGCATCCACCTTGGGAGCCGTCGATTCAGTGAGTGTGATCGTCGACGACATGGTGCAGATCGAGTATTGATAGAATAGCCTACAGAATGATTTGTACGGGCGAGTGAAACATTTATTCTTCATAGTCGGCCACAATGTCGCAACATAAAACGTTGCCAGTCTCAGGTCCGAAGCCCGCTCTCGGAGACATGCCATTCATATTTACACTAGAATCACGACGACTTAGCCGGTCGGGCAACAATGGCAGGTCCTGGCGTCGCTTCGGGATAGCCTAAGAGTGCAGTTCGCATCCTCTCTCCCACCCGATCAATCTTTTGACTCTTCAGAGAGCCTTGACTCAACAAGAACAGCTCTACTCCTACTTGTTGCGATTTTGTTTTGGAAATATTCCCCGCCATGACAGCCACCGCAACAATTTTGCAAGCCGGGCAGGATGGCGCGGCGTCTGTGAAGTCGACAAAAACTTCAGCTTCACGAATCGATCTTCACATGCCTAATCCAGGGATTGCAAGGCTTTTTGACAACCCCAAAGACAGCCTCGAAACTGCAAACCGCTTGCTGCAAAAGAATCATGATGAATATCACATGTTCTGGAGAGATGTCGGAGGACACAATCATATGGCTCATGCTGTTCTGACCACTCTTGCACTGGGTGGGAGTCCGAGCGAGCTACAGAGAGCTTATGACGATGGACTTGAGGTTCAGCGACCGATGCCTGCTCTCGATGAGGAACTGGTGGGAAAGTTGAACGATCCCTCAGTGCTCCGTTCGCACATTGGCAATATCCACGATTACACAAATTTCCTCGCATTCTTCGAACGCGAGATCGATGCCAAGGGATGGAGAGAAGTTATTACAGAGTATTGCTTCTCGAAGTCAGAGAATGCGGAGCTCATGCTTGCGCAACTCTACGAGGGTGCTTTCCATCCTATCATTCATCTCGGACTGGGTGTTGAATTCGAGCAACCTTCAATTGTCGCTGAAGCTCTTGCTCAGGCTGCTTCGCATGACTCTGCTGGTATTCCTAAATTCCTGCTCGATGCAGAACGCCACGGTCGTGCATCTGTAGAGCCTCGAATGTCGCTAAAGGATTGTTTCCACGTACTCCGAGAGGATGAAACGATCAAGAATGCTGCACAGCCACAAATGGGTCCAGTCAGAGTGAGGGAAGGTGTGATGAAGCGTGCTTTCCAGCAAATCACACGCTTGGCAGCAGCGTACAGGGTCCCATCATCGGAGCTGGACAAGAGCATCGCAGAGATGATCAGTTGCAATGCATACATTTCTGCTGCTGCACAGCGAGCAGGCAAGCAGAGGAAGATCGACTTCTTCCACATGCACAACGTGACCAGTTCAATCTTTTTATCTGTGTTTGCACAGCAGGGCTGGATCAAATTGGAAGACAAAGTCCGACTTGTAGAGTGGAAAGCTCGGATGGATTTAGTCTGGTACGCTGCCAGCGGAGCAGCGCCTCTAGACTTGAGTTTCTTGACTGATTACAAGCCAACTCACAGCGCTGGAATGAGCTGGGTTGAGTTGTATCAAGCAATCAACAAAGCTCACGATGATGGTCACGTTGCCAAGTTTGTGAGGGCAATAAAAAATGGCGAGTCTGTGGCTAAGCCATTCGAGGGTGCAGATTTGGAACGATTCCCTGTGAATGACGAATTGTGGCTCAAGGTAGCGCAAATGGCTTATGATTCGACCTTGGAGGTTCCCACCGACCTCCGCTGGGTCTTCGGTGCTGGATACGATCCCATGTGGAAGCTGATGCCTGATGAGGAGTGATCGATCTCGGAGAGCCGTTTGTGATGTGGTGTTTCAGGCTTTGGTAGAATGGTATCTCGTCTCACATTTACATGTTTACCATGCTTCGTTCGTGCCCAAGTCACCCAATCGATGCAACGCAAAATATTACAGACGACGCCTTTGTGGTAATCAACGGGAAATACAAATCTGCTCTATGTACACCTATGAAACTAGGCCGATGGCCCAGTACTTGGCAGGTACGAATGCAGGAAAGGAAAGAAGTGCCTCAACAGCCCCATCAATATACACTTTGGAGTTCCTGGTGGGAACTTCGCTGCCCCATTGGCATTGGTCACGCTGACATTCTTCATGTCATATATGCCCTCCCTGTCTTCCGCTGCTTCGATCATTGCCGCTGCCAAATCCAGGTATGAGATAAAACTCTCTTCATCGTCAAAGTTCAGCTTGTGTCCACGCTGTATGTCGACGGACAGGCCACCTGGCTTGATAAATACAGTTGAAACCCAGTCACTTTGGGCCCGAAGGTACTGTTCAGTAATTTCCAGGTCTTTGTAGACATGTGATGCTGCTGTGAGCATCACCGGTCGAAACCACCAAGGCATTTTTCTGGCGAGATGATCATCGATTGTGGCCGAGGAGAGCAAGATCAGTCTGGGAACCTTCATTCCCGGTGGTGATTCCTTCTTCAGCTTTTCTAAGGCAGCAATCACGCTCTTCGCTTGATCTTGACCAAGGCTACAGCCGGGGATGTTGTCGTTCGTTGTGACCACCATAAAAACAGCATCGGTGTCTTTGATGCATGATGCGATGAGGCCCACGTCTTGGATGTTGCCCTCAAATATCTCGAGTGACTTGCTATCCAGTATTTCCGGAACCAAGCGGATGAGCTTAGCCTTGTTGCGACAGTAGGCGTTGATTTTGGCTGCCAATGGCGACGCCAGAAGATTTTGGATGAGTGCAGTGCCACAATTGCCAGTTGCACCCAGGATTGCGTACGTTGCCATCGTGTCGGTAGTATTAGCCAATGTTGAAGAGGGCACAGGAACGATGCGATCGTCGAGGTTGGAATGTACTTGACAGCGTCTCTAAGCCCTCGTGATTCGGTACAGACCGGTGTTCGGGTGTTGTTGCTGAGTGCCGACTCCTCTCATGCTACCACGCGATGTTGGACATACTATCACGCTTTGAAGTACTCCTTGCTGTTGATGGAATAGAGCATAGAAAAATTCAATTTGAATGTTGATACGGAGTTTAACACGATTTGGTTTGCACGAGATTATAGAGACAGTAGCCCTTGCTCGACCAGGTGTTTCTGCAACTTTGGCATGAAGTCTTTCATAAATGCCGAATCGACCATCTCCTCCACACTTTGCACCGCTTCGCCGTTTTCGCTAAACGTGAGAAATACTGCATACTCGTTCGTCCAGTCTCCGAATGGTGTGTCTCCAGCCGAGACTGCGTAAATAACCGCCTTTCCCTGCGCGGCATCGTGGACGATGTGCTTTATGTCGAGCTAACTATGGTCAATCAAGCGACTTCACGAGGAGTGTGTAAGGGTCAAAAAGGCAGTACCTTGTAATTCCTGACGGTGTCGATCAGCTTCGGGAGCATGAATTCGACCTCAGGCTTCGATCGTGGTGGATGTCCCAGCGAAAACGGAAGTGTGCGTTGCGTGTAGCCTTCGCCCATAGCACCCATCATACCCTCCGGTGTCCATTCTTTCCATCCCTGGATGAACTTGTCAAGCGTGGCAGCTTGAGTTTTTGCGTCGGCTGGCATGGCTGCTCACTAGGTCTAAAGCGATCGAAGGGAGAACAATTGAATCGATCGAATGAGGCTTAACGATACTCGACGGCTGTAAAGAGTACGGCACGCCTGGTCGGCTGGGAGCACTGTCGTTTGCAAACTCTCCGGAACTCGGGAGTCGCTTCCGTGAGCTGTACCCGGTCCATCAACCTGCGAACGTAGTGTCTTCCGAAAACAGGCACGGGAACCACATCGGTATCTCAAGCATCTTGGTAGCCGTTCCGATCTTGCGCATTCAAGCCGGATCTGGGACAAGAGCATGCACCTTCCTGCCTCAAATTGCCGAGGCATGGTAGAACAAAAGGAAGAGCTCATAGCTTCACAGGTGGATGATCTCTTCCATTGGCCAACACTCGTTACTTCGGCTTCATCATGTTCCTGAATCTCAATGCTGTCGGGTTTCTGTCCCTCTGCTTGACGAATGTTGTTTCTGCACGACCGGCGAGAAATGCTAGAACAAACTATGTGCTTGTTGGCGCAGGACCTGCAGGATTTGTACTGGCTGAGCACCTCACGAGAGACCCCGATGTGAATGTTGTTTTACTGGAGGTTGCAACCAATGGTGACGACACAGCCGATGTCTACGGTATGCTTTGGAACTGATTTTGACCATGGAGAAATAGAACACTGACACAATTCTTGTGTGACTTTAGTGCCAGGAAACCTGTTCAATATATTCGATAGCGTGTGGTACTATCTCTCCCAGCCCGATCCGACTTTGAATGGCGCGCAACCAGACAGCGCTCAAGGAAGATTGGTCGGCGGAGGAACGGCAGTCAATGCGATGCTGCACTGCCGTGGATCTGCGTCGGTCTTCGACGAATGGGCAGAAATATCCGGCAACGAGGGACTATCCTGGGGGAACATCCTGGAGGCTTTCAAAGAGACCACACACTGGACTGATGCATTGGAAGCCGATTATGAGCAGCAAGTGAACACTAGCTCTTTTGGAAACGGTCCAGTGGAAGTAACCCGACAGAGAGATGAATTTCCTTTCGATAATCCATTCGTTGACACTATTGCGACAAACCATAACCTTCAAGAGATCGATTTCGCCTCAGGCGGCGGCATCGGTGTCACAAAAGGGCTTGTGACGATTCGCGCATCAAACTCCACTCGTTCTTACGCTTACAACACTTTCGGATACCTCGCGAACACAAGGCCCAATTTCCAGCTCATCACAAACGCATGGGCGTCAAAGATTGAATTCGACGGAAAGACTGCTACAAGTGTCACGTACCACGATACTGTGACCAACACAACACACACACTTTCGGCGGATGAAATCATCGTGACGGCTGGCACGATCAACAGTGCCCAACTGCTCATGTTGTCCGGGGTTGGACCGGCGGATCAGCTCGAAGAACTCGGCATCGAAGTTGTGGAAGATATTCCAGGCATCGGCAGCAACCTTATGGATCACCACTTTGCAGTGATCCAATACAATACTACAGAAGAGCAACCAACCCGATGGAAGTACGAGAACAACGCAACATGGGCAGCAGAGCAAGACGCACTCTGGATCGCCAGCGGAGATGGTGTCCTTGGAACTGACTGGGGCGATGCAATGGGAGCTATCAGACTTCCTGACTCTGTCTTTGAGGGCACAGGTGACTTCTACACCAAACTGCCAGCCGACCGTCCACACATCGCATACATCTACAGTAACGTGGGCACTCAGCCAGAGCCTAATGCCACTGCATTGACAGTCTGGGCGGCCATGGTGCAACCAGAATCGAGGGGCAATGTCACACTGGCAACAACAGATTACCGCGATCCGCCACTCATCTATGCCAATTTCTGGGCGACTCCAGGAGAAAAGGCTTTGATCAAAGCAGGCTACCAAGAAGCTCGGAAGATGTTTTCAGCTCCGGGGCTACAAGAAGTGATCCCAGCGGAAACCTTTCCCGGCACAAATGTCACAGAAGCGAACGACGTGTGGGAAGCTATCATCGAAACATCTCGAAGCTGGCATCATCAATCTGGTACCGTCTCACTCGGATCTGTCTTGGACGCCAACTGGAGAGTGAAGGGACTCAAAGGACTTCGAGTAGTTGGAGCAGCTTCCATACCGCAGATCCCAACTTGCCCTGTCCAGGCCTCGGTCTACGCTTTGGCAAAAGTTGCCGCGTCTGACATCGCGACTGCGGATGGCATCAGTGGGACAGCTTATTAGAGTGTGAATTCGGGGCAGCTCAAATCACTTGTACAATGGCACAATGTATAGAAACCGACGTGGGTGAGATTTGGGAGAGTACGCTAGCCAGTGGAATGGAAGTAGAACATGTTGAAGCGTAGACTGGCAAGCACATCAATCTTGACTCAAACATCTCTTTCTTCCAGCTCTGCACGTCAATTGCCTGCCATTCCATCGCCACTGTGACCAGATACTTGCCTGAAGGTCATGTTGCGGCTGCTATGCTCCGTGCCCTTTTGCGAACGTCGGACTTCCGTATGTAGCACCGGCGGTGACCGATCATCGGGTAGTACTGATCTGTCTGCTCTTCTCCCATAGCATCTGCGGTAGCATGAATGTGGTGAAATCATTGCATTAATGAGGTTCTCATCTATATAGTCTATGTCTACACTTCACACGTGCTCAGATCGGTAGTCATTTCACGAAATATCTAATGAAAACCACAATCGCTGACCTCCGCGTATCTGGAATGCAGCTTTCCCGTCTTCCGCCAGCTTTCGCAACACTTCTTCCACGAAAGGCTCAAGCGCCATCTTTCTGACCTCCGCGTCAATATTCATACCGTGCAGAATCAGAACGAGCTCTTCGACAGTGACTCCAACGGCTTGTCTGGCTGCCATTCTTTCCTTCTTGATTTGCTGCAGCGCCAACAGGTACTGCTTTTCGCGTCGAGTCTTCCTTGCTAGTTCTGCGGAGATTTTGATTCGCAAATTAGGAATGACAGCCCCATGAGCTGGGTATCCTACACCACAATTTTGCGATCGCATCTTGTGAAGAGTATTCATATAAGTACTGAGCTCTTCGACGGCACTTGATACCCCATGACCGAGGATATTGTCTCCAGTGAACATGGCGTTCTCTTCTTCCAACACGAAACACATGTGATCGTGCGAATGCCCTGGGCTGTGCACAGCCCGGAGTGTAGCGCCCTCTACCTGGATCTTGTCACCCTCTTCGATGGATCGTTGAGTACCCTCAGGAGAGTGCTTCCATATCGATTTGCCAAGGCTAGGATCCATTCGAATCAGATCTGGTACTCCGCCTGTGTGGTCTCCGTGCCAATGCGTGAGCAGCACATGGGAGAGAGTAATGTTGTGCTGTTGAAGCGTTTCCAGGATCAAATCGGCCCATTCTCGAAAGCCCTGTCCAGTGTCGATGATTAGACGCTGACTCCCAGTGCCGACAATATATGTGTTTGTACCCTGCAGTGTGAACTACGTAACTGTCAGAAAATGCGTAGTCGAAGTGCGCAGCATCAGACACTACCTTTCCAGGATTTTGGCCTAGTATGCGGATAACCCTAGGAGTCAACTGTTCCACGTCGGCCAACGAAGGGAGTATCGATTGCTGTATTGTGAGATAGTCATCGAATGCGCAAATGTTCAATGACTTGTTGATCTGCTTGTAGCCCCCTTCTCCCATGTTGGGCAACTGTCCAAAGGTTTGTAGCGAATTTGAGAATGACCTCGACTGTCTAGATGCAGGGTTCAGGCCAGTGGTGCAATGATTGGAAGATCGTAGGAGCCCAATTTGACCTGCTCCGTAGGCTTATTTCTTAGCGACGACATGCTCGATTGTGCTGCTTACAGCCTCACCGGTAGCATCTGAGACTCATGCGGGTATCACGATAGATGCTCGGCTTTCCGTAGAGCATGATGACCGAGCAACTCGGCCTTCCTTTCGTGGCGGAGGAATTGGTGCGAAGGATTATTGCGAAAGTCGCATTCGCTGAACCGAGTCGCAGATTCGCCACTCGGGTCGGATCCGTCCATCTCAACGACTCCGCCTGTGCATTGACCTACCGCGTTGATCAAAATGGAGAAAACTCGCCATCACTGCTGATCAATATGTGTGCAAGCCTTTTCAACAAGGAGGTACACAGACGATCATGACGAAACACAACTCGAAAGACGATATGGCGGTCGAAGAGGCAATGGGCCTGGCATACTTTTCGAACGAATTTCCTCCAGGCGACGTTGCTACCGTTCTTCGAAACATTCGATTCCTGGCTCAGGACAGAAGGCATCCTCTCTTGGAATCGTTCCTTGCAAAGGCTACCGAAGCGGTTCGGAAAGAGATCCAGCACCTTCCAGGCGAATTGAGAAACACATTTCCAGCTTTTCCCTGCATCACTTCGCTTTGGGGTGAGCACGAACTCCGCCAAGGAAGCTTGAGTGGCGCGATAGATGGCGCTCTCCTTTGTGTTGTTCAGCTCGGGATCTACATCAGGTACGCATGGTAGAATGTGTGGTCGAACGATACTGACCAAGTCTTCTCAGCACCCTTGAGACAGGAGCAAGCCGTACCCAAGTCGATATTCGCCAACAAACGCTGCTTGCTGGTCTAGGCATTGGGTTGTTGGTTTCCTCCACAGTAGCGTTGTCACCAACGCTCTATGATTTGCCAGCTCGTGGCAGTGAAATCATTCGGATTGCCTTCCGTCTAGGGATATTCGTCTCTGGTGCGTACTATCACATCCTCCACAAGACAACCATCCCTCCGTGATCTTCCTTGGCCGATATAATGGCCTTGGTGCTAATTCGAAGGCACAGATACATCGAAGCTACTCGAGCCAGTGAAACAAGATGGCTTCCCAGATTCATGGGCGTATGTCGTCCATGGCGTTTCGTCAGGCGATGCACAAATGGAACTGGACGTCCTGCACGCTCGGAAGGTAAATAATCGACATAATTCAGATGCAGACATGGGCTGATCAAAGTCACAGAGCACTCCACGATCAGCTCAAATATTCATTAGCGCCAAAAGCCGTACCTCAGTGACGATCAGCGGACCACCTGCCCGACTCAAGGCCCTTTTCCGAACATCTGCGTTTTTCAGAGACCGAAAGCATGCAGCTTTGCCGGTATACGCAGGCTTGTGCCATGCCAGTCATCTCTACTCAATGGACGACGCAAAGGCCATCGTGCACTCCGAAGCACAATCTCCACTGTGGGTACCAGTTTCCGAAGTCTTATCTACAAGCACGGGCAAGCCCTTTTCCGCGGCCAATGGACCTGAGTTGCTGGAGCAGATTGTGTTTGAAATTTTGACCAAAGCTATAGTGTGGGAGAACGTTGTCCAAGGGTTCCTGGAACGAGTCAAGCATACGACCGTCGCACCAATCGAGATCCAGATATTCCGAGCATCACTACCCTCCAACGAGCTTGTACAGACTTTGGAAAAGACGATTTCACCATCCAGGATCAATTTTGTCGATATCGTCGCCATCTTTGACAGTGAACTATCACAGCACAACCATGAGCCCGGCAGGGCATCTCAAAGTAAAATTGCTGTCGTTGGAATGGCATGTCGAATGCCTGGTGGCGCAGATGACACCGATGCACTCTGGGAGATTCTCGAACAAGGCTATGATTTGCACAAGAAGGTACCTACGGATCGTTTTGATGCGGATTCGCACACCGACACGAGTGGAATGAACGTGAATGCTAGCCATACGCCTTACGGATGCTTCATCGATGAACCAGGGCTCTTTGATGCAGCGTTCTTCAACATATCTCCGAAAGAGGCAGAACAGATCGATCCAATGCAACGGCTCGCGCTTGTTACAGCGTACGAGGCGCTAGAAAGAGCAGGCTATGTCGCCAGTAGAACATCTGCTAGCCATCAAAGTCGAGTGGGAGTTTACTACGGACAAGCGAGTGATGACTATCGAGAAGTCAATACCGCGCAGGAAATCGGGACGTACTTCATTGTGAGTGATGATCTGAGTTGAATCGACTAACATGAAGCTGACCTGAACAGCCCGGAGGGTGTCGAGCGTTCGGCCCTGGTCGTATAAACTACTTCTTCAAGTTCTCCGGCCCGAGCTTCAGCTGCGATACGGCTTGTTCCTCGAGCTTGGCCACTATCCAGGTATGCTTAGACCCTTTCCATGCGTTTAGCACAGGACAATTTCGCTGACATGGATGACCAGATGGCTTGTACCGCACTGTGGAGTGGAGATGTCGATACCGTCGTGGCAGGTGGCATGAATGTCTTGACCAACTCAGACGCGTTCGCTGGTCTGAGCAAAGGCCATTTCCTTACGAAGACGCCAAATGCATGTAAGACATGGGATACAGAAGCTGATGGCTACTGTCGTGCGGACGCAATTGGTTCGATTGTCTTAAAAAGGCTGGAAGACGCGGAACGGGACAATGACAACATTCTTGGAGTGATACTTGGGGCCGCCACGAATCATTCCGCACACGCAGTGTCTATAACTCATCCGCATGCTGGACACCAAGCGGATCTCTACCGTCAAGTTCTCGGCAAAGCTGGCGTTGACCCACTTGATGTTGATTACATCGAGATGCACGGTACTGGAACGCAAGCTGGAGACTTTGAGGAGATGAAGTCTGTCTCGGATGTCTTTGCACCGAGCACTCGAAGACGACAAGCAGATCGGCCTCTTCATGTTGGTGCGCTGAAAAGCAATATTGGCCATTCAGAGGCTGCTGCTGGTGTTTCAGCTCTATTGAAGGTGCTGCTTATGTTCCAGAAAGGCCAAATACCGCGACACATTGGCATTAAGAACGGGATGAATCCACGCTTGCCCAAGGATATGGACCGGCGTCACCTACGAATACCTCTGACTCAAGTCCCGTGGGAGGCCACAAATGGCCGAAAGCGGACAGCAGTCGTCAACAGCTTCAGTGCAGCTGGCGGAAATACTACGCTCTTGCTGGAAGAGGGGACAAGGTCGAAGCACTCCGATCAAGATCCTCGGCCATCTCATGTCATTACTGTGTCCGCGAAAGGGAAAGCATCATTCAAAGGCAATCTTGAGAGACTACTGCAGTATCTCACGGCGTACCCCGAGTGCTCGATCTCCGACCTGGCGTACTCGCTAACAGCTCGCAAGTCACACTACAACTACCGCTTCGCTGTGGAAGTCTCGCACAAGGGAGCGCTGGAGAGTAGTCTGAGAAGTGCGATAAACTCGGCGGATACAAAGCGATCGATTTCAACCGTGGGACCGCCCGCAATTGCGTTCGCCTTTACCGGGCAAGGCTCAATGGATCCTTCCTCGAACTTGGAAATGTATGAGCATTCTCCAACCTTTCGCTCAGAGATCGATCGCTTGGATGGCATTGCACAGAGACAAGGCTTCCAGTCTTTCATCAGCTCTATCGATGGAAGTCATCCAAAGGACTACACGCATACACCAGTGGTCACCCATCTCGCAATACTTTGTGTGGAACTTGCCTTGGCCAGATACTGGGAGGATCTAGGCGTTAAGCCGGACTTGGTAATCGGTCACAGTTTGGGGGAGTACGCGGCGCTCTGCGTAAGCGGTGTGCTTTCAGCCAGCGATGCTATCTTCCTCGTAGGAACGAGAGCTCTTATGCTGGAGGAAAAGTGCACGGTCGGCAGCCATGCCATGCTGGCCGTGAAGACGTCGGTGTCTCAGATCGAAGACTCCGCTGCCGGCCTCCAACTGCAGTACGAGGTTGCCTGCATCAACGGTCCTGATGCGACGACAATATCTGGAAGCACCGACGACATCTCAGAAGTGCACAGAGTTCTCAGCGATAAGGGCTTCCGATGCGTGCGATTGGATGTTGCGTTCGCCTTCCACTCCGCTCAAACAGATCCCATACTCGATAGCTTCGAGCTGGCCGCGCAGGGCGTCGTGTTCAATAATCCCAGGCTTCCGGTATTGTCACCACTGCTAGCAAGGGCCGTCTGCGATGACAAGAGTATTAATGCAGGCTATCTGCGTCGGGTAAGTTTGAACTTTTAACAATAATCACCGACACATACCCTGCTGACACTTGCCTGCATCTAGGCTACACGAGAAACGTGCAACTTTGCTGGTGCTCTCCAGAAAGCCAAGGCCCAGTCTTTCATCGACGACGACACTGTCTGGTTGGAGATCGGTCCTCACACAGTGTGCACCAGCTTCATTCGATCAACCATCCCTAGCACAAAACTCACGATCGGATCACTCCGAAGGGGCGAGAATAACTGGACGAATATCTCACGTGCACTCGCGTCGCTTTATACCGCCGGGATCAGTATCCGATGGTCTGAGTTCCATCGCTCCTTCGAGGGATGCTTGCGGTTGTTGGACCTGCCGACTTACAGCTGGAACAACAAGAACTTTTGGATCCAGTACAATGGTGATTGGGCCTTGACTAAGGGAAATACATTCTACGACAAGAAGAAGGCCAATGACACCGTGCAGTCTGTGTCTGTCGCACCATTCCACACATCCACTGTCCAACATCTGATTGAGCAATCCGTGGAGGGAACCTCTGCCAAGATTGTAATACAGTCAGATCTGATGCAACCAGACTTCCTTGCTGCAGCAAATGGTCACCGCATGAACAACTGTGGCGTCGTCACTTCATCAATCCACGCTGACATAGCCTACACTCTCGGGAAGTATCTTCACAGCTTATTCTATCCCGACGCTCCAGCTCCTGATATGGATATCGCGCACCTGGAGGTCACGAAGGGACTTGTTGCCAACAGCAACCCGAACTCGAAGCAGCTGATACAAGTCGAAGCACGAACAGACGATATTCGTTCTCGCATCGTTCACCTCGCATGGCACAACGTTGACACCAACGGAGTTCTTGGCGACTCGCCTTTCGCAACCGCGAAAATCATTTACTGCAATGCTCAAGAGTGGTTGGTTTCGTGGCTCCCACTCACACACATGATCGAAGGTCGGATCCAGACCCTAGAACACCTAGCACAATGTGGTTCCGCGAACCGGCTGTCACGGACAATGGCATACGCACTCTTCGCCAACAGTCTTGTCGACTACGAGAACAAGTATCGAGGCATGCAGACCGTGGTCATGAACGAGTTCGAAGCTTTTGCTGATGTCGAGCTCACGAAGGAGAAGTCTGGAACCTGGACAGTACCTCCGTACTGGATCGACAGCGTGGCTCACCTTGCAGGATTCGTCATGAATGTTTCGCATGCTAGCGATACGGCCAAAACGTACTGTGTCACTCCTGGCTGGCAATCAATGCGTTTCGCTCGTCCGCTGGTGGCTGGCGGGAAGTATCGATCTTATGTGAAGATGATACCCACCACGGAAGATCCGACGATATATCTCGGCGATGTCTACGTGCTACAGGAAGGAGTGGTCGTAGGAATGGTTGGTGGTATTCAGTTCCGACGGTTCCCCAGGATACTACTGAGCCACTTTTTTTCTCCTCCCGACTCCAGTGCCGCATCAGCCCCGGCTTCTCAAGCGCGAAGGACTTCGGCGAGCACTGTTGCTGGTCATACTGTCGCTCCCCCGAAAAGTGCTTTGCGGACGAAATCCATGGAACCACAACCACCCGGGTCACTAGTCGTGGATTTGGTCAAGGAGGACGTGCTGCATTCGCTCACTCCAAACAAAACGACAGAGGTCGTGGATGCAGTCAACAAGCAAATCTCGCAAGCGAACAGCACGGCGATAAAGGCGGTAGCACTTATTGCTCTTGAAGCGGGTTTGGAGCTCGAAGACCTCCCCGACGAAGCGTCTTTCAGCGACATTGGAGTTGACAGCTTGCTGAGCTTGGTGGTCTCTGAGAAGTTCAGGCAGCAGTTGGGGATCCAGGCTGGGAGCAGTCTTTTCCTCGAGTATCCAACTGTTGGCGCACTGAAGAGTTGGCTGGAGGAATACTATGGGTGAGTCACGGGTCGAGCCCTGTGAGCGTCGGCCACGAACAGGTTCAATGCACTTGGAATATGATGTTGACTCGTAGAATTATACATTATTGAGAGGTGTACTTCATGCATTCAATCCGAACTTAATCACGGTTACATGTGCTTTGATTCCAGGGTTGGACGCTATGCGCCAGAGCTGAATATTTATCATCAACATATATTCAGCGTTTATTTAGGAAAGACATCTTGAGAAAAGTATATATGGTCTATTGAATTCTGTCAACGACTCATTGAGCCTACCTGAGTGTAGGCAGATGACAGCACAGCTTCTTGTATTGTGGTTCTGACTACCTTTCCGGTGGCGTTCAGCGGGAACTTCATTAACTCAAGGTCGTGAAGACAGAGCAGATGATCTGGAGTGTACACCGGGCCAAGAACCTGCTGCACGTGGTCAATTGCTGCACTTGGTGAGTGCGTGCCCATATTCGCTACAATTGCGACTGGCCTATTTCCATGGACCGTATGAGGTATTGCCACAACACAGACCTGTTCCTTCTCGTTAGTGATTGCTTATCGTGTCAATTCACATGAATCAGAATCTTACCTGTGTCCCGAGGTACTCCTGCAGACAGTTTTCTATCGACGAAGGCATGATCAACGTGCCGTCGCTGTGCTCGATAGCGTCTTTACGTCGGCCCAGAATGGTGACGATGCCCTGGTCGTCCATAATAGCAACGTCTCCAGTATTGAACCAACGGGCAGTAGCGTCGACCAGGAAACTGTCCGGGTCTGCACCACCCAAGTAGTGCTCGATGATGCTGGAACTGCTGATATGCATCTCTCCTGGCTTGCCTCTCAACGCAATCCGATTCCTTCTTCGATCCCAGACTCGAACTGTTGATCCAGCTGCCACGGTCCCAGTTGGGCAGACGCCCCCATGAGTATCAATAAAAGTTGGTGGAGTATCGAAGAATGCCCATTTGAACGCAGCCCCGCCCTCCGACATGCCATGGTGAGTACAGATTGATGCCTTTGGAAAGATTCTGGCACACTTGTCGAGAACGTCGTTTGTGACGGCGTCGCCACCGATTTGAATACTTCGCACGGAGCTTGTGGCAAGACTGCAACCCTTTGATACCTCACTCAGACGATGTACCATTGTCGGTGACAGTACAATAAACGTCGCTCCGTGATTTTCGATTGCGTCCAGGGTGTCCTCAATGGCGAAGTTTCTGCCAGGCATGACAACCGTACCTCCAGCTTTCCATGTCTGTAGTACCTGAGCCGGTGCAATTGCACGAGAGTTATGCAGCTGTTGTAATGCTCGCACACCATTGTCTTCGTTGATGAGCCAAGACCATGAATGCAACATGTGGCTCATGCCCTTTACTCGCACCGGGCAGCCTTTGGGCTTGCTTGTTGTTCCGGATGTAAAGGTGATCGAATGAATACGGTTTGGATCATCCATTTCTAGTCTCTGGAAGAGTTCCTGCTCAAAGCCGTGGCTCAGGTTCCCAGTAAGAAGCTCGGAGAACGAGTTGCAATCTCGAGAGATCGTGGGACTGGAGGCAACGCACAATGGCGGCGCCAGCTTCAGCTTTTGGGCCGCTTCGCGTACCGTCTCCGCTGCATTTTGGTCTGGTAAAACGACAATCGAAGGTCGAAGTGTTCGCAGAGTGTCCTTTAGATGATTAGAGTCCGATGCTTTGAGCAAGGTCATGTCCATTGTGATCATCGTCAATCGCATCAAGATGGATGCCCATAACAGAATGCAGAATTCTACTCCGTTTGGTATGACAATGAGAATCTTTGATCTCTCTCTGGCTCCCAACGTTGTAAGGTTGGACCCCAGTTTTAGAGCGGCGTGGTGTAATTCGTGGTATGTTAAGGTCATGCATTTTAGCCCCGGGTTCGATGATAGTTTTCCTGGATTCGAAATGCATTCTGCTTTTAATCTGGCATTCTTGAGATGATCATGTGGTTGATGAGGGCATATAACTGCTGGTTCATTGGGACTTCTGTGCAGGCCTTCTTGCAAGTGTTCGAAGATTGATCTGTGTATCGACAACGGACCTCCTGAGATCTGGGCCAATTCTTCACTAGCATAAGACTTCTGATAGTCAGACGTTGTCATATTCGAAGTGGCCATCTGCCTTGGACAGGGTGTGAGAAAAGTGCACCAGTCAATGAGGAGTCTTGCCAAGCCTTCAGTGAACGTGGCCAGAATCAATGCTATGATGCTACTACCCAGGACTTCTAATCCCACGTCACGTGCTCATACACCATAAGCTACCCAATGCAGCAGATGATGGAGAGTATCAGCACTTGGCGCTCCGGCCTGGTAGAGTCGTCCGCGAATTCTGCGATTTTTCGGGTCTCGGGGTTCGGATATTGCACGCATGCTTCTAGAATCCGAAAAGAATCTCCGTGCCAGATCACCGGATGGAGAGACGCGACGGCTGTCGGGCCATATTTCAGGCTGAGTTGTAGCACAATGACTGCCACACGCACATCAACAAGCACGCGAACCTTTGGTGGCTTCGCCAGCTCCTCCAGATGGTACGATTGAGGGCTCTATAAAAGTGTTTCGGATCACGCCGACCGCTCATCGCGATCTTGAGAAGAGACTGCTACTTTGCGTGACGATTTGATAGTTTGATGTCATTTCAATGAAGATGGAAGCTACTTAAGTTGGATTCATGTGAAACCTTGTGGCATTCTATTGCAGCACAAATCATCAGCTCTCGCCTCGTACCGCTGAAAGTCCCACCAATGCCCCTATTAGTGGGAAGAAGGACCTGACCAGGTGCAGATAACGCCATCTGCTAACCAGATCTTGCGCATGACTCAATGCCGTGCTGCCTCCAAGGCCGTTGGCCTGTTGAGCTTGCAGCGCAAAAAGTGTGTTGTTCGTCGGCGCCATGATTGTCAAAGTAAAAGGTATCATAGTGAAGGTCAACAGCGCTGCGAAGGCAAACCGCAGCCACGATCTTCGTTTCTTTCGTCTTCTGAAAGTGGCAAGGGTGTACAACGAGCAGGTCGCGATCGATAATCCTGGGGCGATTCGATGTCCGTAGTGGTATAGACTGTGCCACTGTTCGATCAGGAGTGGCCCGCTTGTGACCGTATCGAGGAGGACTGGCACTGCGAGCAGCGAGAGACTCATCATGGCACCTGTTCAGTAGCTGTTCAGTATGGTAACGGAAATTTGACAGTTGATCAGTTACCTGACAGAAAAGTTCCAGAAAACACGGCGGCCGTAGGAAGACCCGTGCCGGGAGACTGTCGTTCAGGCATGGCGGGGATCTTCGAACGATAGTAGTTTCTCTGGGAGCTGGAGAGTATTTGTCGGGCTGATAGTTATGCATGCAAAGGCAGAGTCGTCCACAAGGTGGTCAATGATAATAGTCGTGATTTGGCGCCGTGTTTGCGGAACACATGAAGCCAACAACCCTGGTTGCATGGAAATTGCAACCGGTGATTGAACGATGGGAAACTATCATCCGGCCGATAGAACGTGTAGAGGCGGAGCTCGGACTCGTGTTAGAACTAGTGCTCCGGATCAAGCCCGCCTGGAGAGACCGCGTCTTCGATCTTGCAAGCAAAGCCTATTCGCTCGCAAGGTCATTCCATCTATCCTGACGAGATTGCAGAACCAAGAATCCATCTGTGTACACCTCAATTACGATCATGCCGGCAGATGCACACGTCCAAGCTGCAACTTTGCAGAAGTTTCTCGCAGCATGGAAGTCCTGGAACGCGGAGTCCTGGCTGGCTGTCTTCGACGACAGCTTCGAGCATATCACAATGCCGCTCAATCTAGGTTTGCCACCGAAGACTAAAGCGGAAGTTGCAGCAACTCTGCCGACGATGATGAGCGCCATAAGAGACTGCGAGGTACTGCGTCCAATTGGAATGACGAGAGATGTACAGCTTGTTGATGGTAAACTTTTAGTTCAATGTGCACGAAACGGTGCATGATCCGGATCGAAACAAAGCTGCTGTGTACTGTACATCGAAAGGGGTCACCGACGTGGGTTCTTGGAACATGGAATGTAAGTAAGGGCAACTCTACTCTCAGTGTCATGCTTGCGCCACCGAGTATGACTATGAGCAATAATCGAGCCGCTGTACATCCGAGAGAACGCCACTGATGGACTCACGAATCACAGATGCTGCATTTATAACTTTCAACGAGACGGGTGACAAGGTTGCCAAGTTCGAGGAGATGATCGATTCGGCATTCATGAAGGAATTCGCGCCCAAGTTCCAGAAACATATGCGTGAACAGGCCGCCTAGACTTAGATGCAGCGTCTTCATGTGACACTCGTAGTGTCTAAAAACATCTCACAGCTATGTTTCCACTCCCTGTTGAGTCGAATGTTGAGAAATGCTGCCACTGCGGACGACGAATCTTGCTTCTGCACGTAACGTATATATTCTACGCCGTAGAAGAGAGAACGAGAGGAGACCACACTCTTGAACTCAAACTGATCGAGAGAACGGTTGGCTTTGTAGCTCAGAGGATGTCTGCGGGCACCGACCTAGTATCACAGCTATAGAATTTGTACAACTGATCTATGACCAGTCACCGTCCAGTAGGTCTTCGACCCTTACACCGTTCTCGATATCTCGTTTGACCTCGTCGATCGACCAAGGCACAAACTTGTGACCCGGAGGAAAGTTGGTGTTCTGAAACGGAGCATTGGACGTGAGGTGTGCGAAGGCCTGCCCATACTTCTCGTACGCATAAGCCTCCGGATCATGTCGTGTCACCCAGTTCGGAAACCTGGTTCGGATCTTGGCAGGCTCCCGTTTGATAGCTTCCCAGTCGGTTTCCTGCTTGAGTTGAGAATTGACAAATGTCATTTTCTGCGCACAAGCGACTCTCTCGTATCGTAGCAGGTTGTAAATCTTACTTCCAAGGCTGACATTGGTTTTGCCGGACAACTGTAGGCATGTTGCTAATGTGACAGCATCTTCGATAGATTGCGTTGCACCATTGCCTGAAGTAGGCAAAAAGCTGTGAGCGCTGTCTCCGACTTGTACAACATGCCCGCCTGGAGAAGTCCATTGTCTGCGCAAGTCCCGCCACATCAAGCGCGAGTGCACAATTGTACCCTTTGGAGTCATGCGGACCAGAGCTGGAATCGCAGGGTGCCAGCCTTCGAGAGCGTTGCCCATAGCATTGATCGCTTGTTCTGGTGTGACCTCAACTCCCGGAGTCCAAGACTCGTCAGCGGTACCATCGTCCCGTGGAGTGAAACCCCAAGATATGATGTCCCCGTGAACCACAATCCCGCAATACATCTTAGGTCCAAGCCAGAATTGCCACACAGACGAATCATCTTTCCACTGTTCTCGGACGATCTCGTTCTGGAATGCATGTTCTTTGGAGAACGCCACTCGGTAGATTGCCATGCCACTAGGCTTGGGATTGACTGGACTGCCAGATACCAAGTTTGCCGATGCTGTGTTCTGCCCATCAGCAGCGATCACGACGTCTGCAGTGACGGCTTCGCCGTTCTCCAGTACCACGCCTCCCTTCCTAGCTGGGATGTCTTCAAAGTATGTTTCCACTCGCGCTCCGTACTCGATTTCGATTCCGACTCTCTCTACTTGTCGGAGCAGCATCTGGAAAAATCCAATTCTTGGCTGTAAGGCAGCCGTGTACGGGCCTTTACGTCGCTCGTGCTCTCCAGGATCGTTGAAAGACGGCTTGCATGGCCCGTATATGTGCTCACCGGAATGTTTCTTGTAGTGCATGTCAACGTCGTACTCCACTTCTTTGAGTTCGGAAACGAGTTCCGGCCAGTGTCGCAAGACCTCGATTGCAGATGGCTGCACTACCATGATATCTCCTGTCAACACAGGCGACTCACTTCTTTCGAGGATCTTTAGTACATCGTGACCTTTTCTCCAGCATTCCAAAGCGGACATTAAGCCTCCTGGTCCGGATCCAACGATGAGCACCTTCAATCCTGTGGAAAGTTGACGCCGAGCCAACGAAGCGTTGCCTCCATTCTGATCGGGCTTTTCGTTCTCAGAGATTTCCGCTGTACCGTTAGCGCCATGGCACTTGCTCTCGGCGTTGCTCTCTAGTGAATCAATGGTCAGTCAGCCTTTCAAGTAGCATCTGTTGCACAAAGCTCACCAGAGTCGATCAACCACGCAGAGTCCATTGCGCCAACTGAATAACGACGGAGTGTATTGCTCCGACATGCATAAAAGCGTATAGTAGATAGAACATGATCGAAAATGATCCAACCAAAGTCAAGGTTGTCTAGAGATATCGGCATTCCGTAAGGACTCGGGATTCCGTCGACGGCTGTGCAGAATGTCTGAACATGATGCGGAACTTGCGTGGACTACGATGCGAAACCAGATCACACGCTGGACCATGAGCAGACCTCGACACGCCAACAGCTGCCCCAGTCATAGTCATGGGTAGTCATGTTCAAACTCCTTTTCAGCCGGGCAGATGTTCCGTTGCGTTATACCTGAGGGGATACTCAGAAGCCAACTCAAGTATGTACCAATGATGCTAGTCTAGTTGAGCTCCAGCTCAAGGATTTCATTGAAGCCACGAATGCTGCATGGGTCTTATTTCGATCGGTTATGTTGAAGATGTGATTTGACCAGGTGACCCGCCGCCAGGGCACTGCACAAGGACAATTCTCCAGCCAAAGTTGCTGCGCCGATGAGACGCGCAAGCTGCCTGGCATTTTCTCCTGGGTTGTCCGGGCTGGGTCCACGAACACCCAGCATATCAAGCATGGCAGCCTGGGGCTCTAAAATCGTGCCTCCTCCAAGTGTGCCAACTTCGATCGATGGCATGGAGACACATATTTTAAGTGATCCTTCGACACTGTTGTCTTATTAGCGCTATCTCATAGTAGACTAACTGTAGTCGACTCACTTGTGCATTGTGGTAATGCAATTGGAACTTTCCACCACCTGTGCCGGGTCTTGACCTGTCGCAATGAACAGAGCTGCGACAATATTCGCAGCATGAGCATTGAAGCCACCAACGGAGCCTGCCATTGCAGATCCGACGAGGTTTTTCGAGATGTTGAGCTGTACCATCGTTTCCACGTCAGTCTTTAGGACGGCCTTGACCACCTCTGCGGGGATGACAGCTTCGGCCACTACACTTTTACCCCTGCCGTCCAGCCAGTTGATAGCCGCCGCTTTTTTGTCAGTGCAATAGTTACCACTCACGGAGACGACTTCCATATCCTCGAAGCCTTCCTCCATCATCGACTTCAATGCATATTCTACGCCTTTAGATATCATATTCATGCCCATAGCATCGCCAGTTGTCGCCTTGAAGCGAACGAATAGCTCTGTGCCTGCGAGGGCCTAGACACGAAGTATTAGTTAAGCAGCATGCCACTCGAGCTGATCGGGCATACCTACTGATTTCATGGACACCAGTCGAATGAATCGGCTGGTCGACTCGAAAGCTTTCTTCATGGCTGCGTACCCTGCGCTAGAATCAAGCCAAGCTTTTGCAGCTCCTCCTCTTCCCAAAGACCGGAATCGAAGGCAAGGGCCTCTAGTCATACCATCATTCGTGATGATCGTGATTGCACCTCCACCTGCGTTGATTGCTTTGCAACCACGGCTGGTGCTTGCTACTAGAACCCCTTCGGTCGTAGCCATGGGTAGGAAGTAACTTCTGCCATCGACAACTATAGGACCTGCTACACCAACAGGGACAGGCATGTATCCTATGACATTTTCACAGCATGCTCCAAGGACTCTTTTCCAGTCATAGTGATGGTATGGTAGCTTCGAGCGCACAAGGCTGGCAGTCAAATCTGCTGTGGCAGGAGACTGTGCAATAACACTGCGCCGGATCCTCACCGCGCGGACGAAGTCTCCCAACTTGGCCTCCAGCGCATGTCCTGCTATCTTTCCACGCAGCGCTAAAGTGACGATCTGATCATCATCGAGCTCCCCAAGGCGGCCGGCTTGCGCTATTTCCTCCATCTCGTCCAGACTTCGTGCAGTTGCAGGTCGATCAACAGCCGTTGATACATCCGTGTCTATCTCCTGGCTCTGGTGTGAAATGTGGTCAGTCCGTGTTGGCTGCTTTGCTATCGTCATAACATCTTCGATCGATTCGACGGAATTGAACCTCTGTGCGCGATCGAGGTCCCCCGCATCGACTGGTTTGACCTGCTTGTAGCCGTTCCCTTCTCCCGACACTGTACGAAGAACGTGGCTATTGAAGGCAACACTCAGCGTCAAAGCTGCCAGCAGCAATTTTGATAGTAATGGGTTCTCAAAGGCCTGTGTTATTCCGGCAATTCTCACAACAAGTGACCAAAAGTCTTTGGTCGGAGCCATAGCGTCAGTTCCGTCCAAGGAGACGCAATGTATAGGCGGGAAAATTGTCGCTGCGATACCGTGGCTTATGTTGTATGATTCTGAAAGTATTCTCTCCAGGACTTCAGCGTGATGTTTCAGTATCTCAGTGTTGACCAGGTCCTCTCGCAAGTAATCGGCCAATGGACTGATGCTTTTGAAAGGCACTGTCACGAGTTTGAGTCCGTTGAGAAGAAAGAAGCCCACGACCATAATGATCTTGAAGGCCGGGATGCGCCTTCGCGACATAAAAATGTTGGAAGGACTTGAGTCGTAGCGATTCTGCACTTGCGCGACACTCTCGGCCACCTGAGTGTCCACGCCATCATTTTCTAGGACTTCTCTCGTATCGAGGTATTGCTTAAGCTTGAGTACATCCAACTTGATGTTCAGAATTGCCACAAAGAACGTAAACAAGAGCAGTAGATCGAAGAACAGCGTCCATATCGCAAAAATGCAGAAGTTTCGGAGACCTTCCGCTACTCCTGGCACTGTGCCCAGCAGTAAGACTCCAATCTCCGCGGCGTATGCTGCCAACAACTTCAATCCAGTGTCTTTGACAGCTAACATTAATGCCGAAGACGAGGTAGGCGCCGGCTTAGACGATCCTGGCTTGCCAGCATCTGTCCAGTCGTCTCCACCATACGACAAACGCTCGTAGTGGAATGCAGATCGCGCCAGCATAACGTATTTCTCGAAACCCACTGTAATAATAAAGAACGGCGTGCCTTCGGCAAGAATGAGCAAGGTCACTGGTACTTCTGCCTTTGCGGTGACAAACAGGCTGAAGAGAAAGGCGAAACCGGAAGAGAATAGTGCTCCTACGGCCAGCCAAATGTTCGAGCCCAGGCGACGCATGGACAAAAACAAATGTATGAATGGTACCATCGCAGTGCCATATGAGACGCACATCATGAAGATGTCGGCATTTTGTGCATGCTGAAATAGCTTGCGGAACTCTTGCCAGGAGTCTCTGGTCCAGTGTTGCAGTGTCTTTCTCCGGGGTTCTCTCGATATGATGGGCACCCATGTGTCTCGAGTTACGCTCCCTTGCTCTTCGTTTGGCTCAGGAGACAGCTGTTCGATAGCTTCGAAAGCGGTGATGGCTTGCGAATCTGGTACGATAATATCGAGGTTTGTCCCTAGTCTTGGGAAGGCTGGAACATGCATCATCCTCGGCGTTACACCTTTGCCCTCGAGAGATGCAGACAGGAGTGTGTTCAGATTTTCAGTCTTGGCTTCTTGAGACTCTGGAAGAACCAATCTCAAGACAGACAGGCGTTGATCGACAAGAAAGGTGTCATTCACTCTGGAGAATGCTGCCTGGTCGGGGGTACGCCACTGCCACCCATCTTCAGCGTAAGCCACGAAGGTGCTGCTTTTTTCCAATTGGTTCGACCAGTAAGAACTTGTACGAGAAGTGCTGGGATCAATAAAAGTCTCCTCGAGGAGCCCAGAGTAACAGACGCTAGCGACAGCCGCAATTGTGCAGATAGTAATTACTGGTTTGACGGAAGCAATCTTCGGGATCCAGTAGAGCAACGCTTGCAATCGGACTCTTAGAAGAGAGGAAGTGCGTTGATTGACTTCAGTGACGTCTGTTCGAAAGCTTTCTGGAAGAAGCTGCGGCGGGGGTGTTTGGGATTCCATGCCGAAGGCACTCAGGCGGTGGACTGCATGCGATGGAGAAATAGCGCATACGACTTGCAAAGACTGAAGAGCCCTTCCGTACGACGCATTCGTGGCTTCAGGAGTATAGGATGCTAAATCCAGGTAGGCAAAGTGCGCAGACGAGTCTCAAAGGCACAGATGACTAGGGACTATAGCACCACGGTTGTATGCAGCTTGTGAGCAATCCGAGCTTCCAGCACATACACAACGCAGACATGCCCGAAGTCCGCCAGCCCGGCATGTGTAACCGCCGAACTCTTCATTATTTCTACAGCTCTCAGTACGTTCGTTTGAGTGGTGCAAATTGTGACTGCTCGCTCACATATCTCAAAGAGAAAAGCCATGGCCATGCAGCTCGAACAGCACAGGCGCACAGACTCAGCGCATGGAATCCTTCACCACAACTCCAAGCCCAATGAAGCGTTCTTGTCGACCAGCGGAGCTGCCAAGCAATCTTCCCAAGCTTTTCTTCTAAGCGGATACGACGAGGAACAGGTCCGTCTTATGGAAGAGTCATGCATCGTTGTCGACGCCAACGATAATCCTCTGGGTGCTGCTAGCAAGAAGGACTGTCATCTCATGACCAAAATCAACGATGGGCTCCTCCATCGTGCTTTCTCTGTCTTCCTATTCGATAGTGAGAATCGATTGCTACTGCAACGAAGAGCATCGGAAAAGATCACTTTCCCGGACATGTGGACCAATACCTGCTGCTCCCATCCTCTGAGCGTGGCGGCCGAACAGGGAGATGGCATGACTTTGAGCTCCGCAGTGCAAGGCGCCAAGTGCGCAGCCGTGAGGAAGCTGTTGCAGGAGCTTGGTATCCCAACATCATCTCTTGAGCTTGACTCCATTAAATTCCTTGGGCGGATTCATTACAAAGCTGCCAGTGACGGCCTTTGGGGGGAGCATGAGATCGACTACATACTGTTTGTCAAAGCAGATGTTACCATTGACGCCAACCCCAACGAGGTCCGAGACTGGAAATACGTGACAATGAGCGAGCTCGAGTCGGCGATGAATGACGAAAACGCTCAAAGTTTGTTCACGCCCTGGTTCAGATTGATTTGTGATGACACACTATTCCAATGGTGGAAGTTATTGCAAGAAGACAGATTAGACGAGCTTAGAGGGCCATCTGAAATTCGAAGACTGGGGTCGAGGACTCCATGGGAGCCGACTTGGCCTCGAAGGGGAACATTGAGGAGGGGTGAGGACTATTAACCCATAGACTCCATCATCAGAGTCTTGAGAAGAGCCAACTGAGTTGCCGATAGTTAGAAACAATGGGTCGCACTTCCGTAGGATCCTAGAAGCCAGCATTGCACTTCGCGAGATTGAAGCCAGATGTCTTCTGTACTGTCTGCAAGGTCTCATGCCCAAGCTCATACACCGTGAGGAATGGCTTCTACGTCTAGAAGACTTAAAAGCTTGCGCAGCTGACACTCTATGGGACTCAATGTGACTAAAATGACTCCGCCAACATCTTTCTCTCATCGGGCCCGAAAAAAACGGTGGTAAGCCGGTGCCAGCTCCGATATTTTTGAATGCCATAAGCCTTGAAGTCGGACGGGTACTGGCGGTAGGGAGTCGAGGGTGTGCAGCACAGCAGCAAGACGACCTCCGATCTCCGCAGAAGGAACATTGGAGAACCTCGTATCAGACACGACCTTCAGCAGGGTAAGATACCCACAAAGCTCCTATGAAGCACCACAGCTGGCACGACCATCAGACCCTCAATATACCAACTTTCATTGTTGTCCAATGGAGGCGGCAGAAGAACTAGCGGCCCCACCAGGGAAAGAGGGCAGAGATCATTTGTTGGCTATCGCAAACTTGGCATGTCCGTAAAGGCATATCGCCACCACATGATGCATGGTAGTGCTACAATACCGCCAGACCGGAACCGCTACTTCGCGGTGTAACATAGGACCCTGAACCAGCTGCAGAACGCCTAACATTTGATGCAGGTGGAATATGGCGTGAGATGATGGTCGCAGGTACGTCAGTGCAGGATTCGCGTATATTGCGTGGGGGTCAAATATACAATTTGGAGGCCTTCCTCTTTGGGATGTATAGATCCACAATACTTCCGACACGAAGCCATTGATGGGATAATTGCTGGATCCTCAGATGTCACAGCCTGCCGACTTTGACTGCTTTAGTCAGGTCGTCGACACAAGCGTTAGTGCGTAAAAGGTCCCAGTAAAAGGGAATAAGCTTTGACGAAGCTCTTGAGTGCGCGCATAGGTTGGTCACGTCGTGTTGGAGATGGTAAGACGCGTATGAAGGACGACCCGTGGTAGGAAGAACATTTCGTGGGAGATCACAAGTTCGCTGATATAGATGGGAGTAAGGTGACAATGAGATGTATTGTAGAGTAAAGTCGACATACGGATATGGTAGATGGCTTGAGCCAGTTCTAATTTCGCTTTGTAGCAAGGTCGTAGCTTTTCTAATATAGATCCCGGGGGCGGGTTGTGGTTTCTTCTGCAGCGCTGGTTCCATTGCCATTATTCCTCTCACATCGTATCTTGGGAGCGCAACACTTCGGATATGATACGGGAAGTACGGAAGCCCTTCAGCGGCCGCGAATCGACTGAATGATAGCGCGTGATAATTCATGAAGCCTAGATCGAATGGCAGTATGCAGCTGTTGAATAACGACCGAGGGCACAGGCGCGGCTAGCGCCGGAAGAGACAGCAGGGCGACAGCACCCTCTCGAGACCGGTCATTTAGCGGGCGCTTTGAGCATTGTAATCCTGCTTCGGCTTCATTCACGCCCTTGAATCGCTCGCTCAGATCTCTTTGTATTGACTGAAGCGCCGTAAGTTGTGATAGTATACGCCGACTGGCCTTGTGACGCTCTGCCTCGGTAATACTGCTCTGCGTGACAGCTGCCTGCGGGGTTTGTCTTCTCCCCAAAGCATCGGCGTCGGCGCTGCCACCCAAGATGTCTGCAGCGGCTGTCGTGTATCGATTCAAGACCGCCAAAACTGCAAGCGATAGGAGGACCAAAGTGTACCCATCAGTCACGCAGGAGCAGCGCAAACATTCCTTGGCCAATTCCAGAGCTTTCGTGTTCTGTTCCAATACGTGATCGAGTTCCAGCTGTGACCTTGTTCCCTTGGTCTTTGTCCTTGAGTCAGAGTTATGGACCCGTGATGGTGGTGAGATGCGAGCAAGCAGTGCCGAAACGCGCACAAGGCAAGAGCAGGACGATTCAGAGCGCACTTCCGGTGCAGATGATGACATATCGGGCGCGTTCTCGGACGACGAGGTTCCACAATTTGGACCAAATATGTCCATTGCAGTGTCTTCCTGCACCATATGCGTATCGCCAAAGATTGAGGTCCTGCTTGATGAAGGTAATAGGCCGGCGCTGCTCTCACGTCCACTGACTCCTGCATCGGTACCTGCAGAACTGTAGCCGCTAAGAATGCTGTCACCGAGATCGAAGATCGATGACTCGGTCATGCCAGAGCCTTGGCAAGCTTCCTGCACCGCCAAAGATCCCAGACAATCGAATTCAGATTCCCAATCTGCTGCAACAGAGCCTGGAAGGTCGAACAAGGACGACTCATCTGGGGTGAGTAAATTGGCAAAAGTGTCGGAAGTGGTGGTTGCTGATAGCATCCAGTTTGGAGCCTGATCATTGCTGACTGGAGTTGGGAAGAACACTGAGTCATGACTTGAGTCTTGTTGTGGAAGGGCTACTGTGATGTTCTCTGGAGTGTGCCCTGCAGAATTGACGGGACCATTGTGAGGCCTTTCTTCATTTGCTGTAGGTTTGGATGTCGATGTTGACCCTTTGGGAAGCGGTACACGGCGAATCCTCTTTGTCGTGCTGTACACACAGCTACAGCGGCGCTTGACACAGCGAACACAGGAAGGCTTTTCTTTCGTGCAGCCTACCTTCGCAGCGGTGCATGCATCGCAGCTGTTCTTGAGCTTGGCGATCCCGATCTGGGATCGGGAGTGAGGATTGCCTTGTGGGGGGGAATCTTGGTAATTGGAGGCGGTGAAGCTCGCCATGGCCATCGATCAAGGGCGCTAGAGAGCGACAGCACACCGGGATCTGGGAGTCATGCGCACTGCTTGGTCTCTCGTCGGCCTTGAGTTCCCGGGTGTGACCCTTCCGACACACAGTAAGGCCTCGATAGGTGCAGGCTGTGCAAAGTAGGAGTTCTGAAGCGAGAGCCCACTCGAAGTTCCGAGAGCACGTGTTGTCGAAGCCGTGGATGCAGAGCCCTGGTTGATTTGCTTTCCAGCAGGAGGCAATATTCGATATTCGCACGACTTGTGGACGGCACACTGTGTTCAAGTATACGTGAACCGTGGCGTCAAGTCCAGATCCTTAGATGACAACAGGCAATGCGATACGGTCCCGCCTACGCATTCCTTCAGACCATGGCGCTCCTTCGACGCCTCGCCAGATGCCGGTAATGGCATGCTGTCCCCTCGTTGGGTGGGAATTGACCTTCCACATCTGAGCAGCTGCGTGAGTGGCCCAATGTTCGAGAAGGATCTCGCAAGTGTTCATGAAGATCCACAGCCAACAGGGATCGGACGCCTCAGCGAGACTGGCATCACCTGTTGGTGAAGCGACTTGTAGGCCTTGTCGTACGTCGCATATTTATGCCTGGGCATAAGAAGCATGTGAAGCAGGTGCACTAATTCTGCCTCATATGCCACCTGCTCCTATCGTGATGCATGTCAGTGTCCCGAGAAGAGGTTGAAGCAGAAACACAGGTGGGAGCACAAGCTACACTCCAATACTAAGCTTTTGGGAGCTCGCACCGGTGTGAGCGAAGCTCAGAATGATGCCAGAGTAACACCGGTAGATGCAGCTGTCCTGAAAAAGAAGAAACGTATGTAGCAACCCTGCTGCTGATCCGGCGCGCATGGTCGGGAGTTGCTGATAAGCCTGGGAGCATGTGCTCGTTCCGCCTCGTGCACCTCGCGAGCGCAGCAGGACCCACCGTGACGATCCTGATCGGACCACTCCGTGGACGCCTCAGGCACTAGTGTGTTTTGAAGTGGTCCGCTGGCCCTCTCACGGTTGATGGCGGCATGCACTCAACACACAATATATGAAGCGAGGCGCATGGGCAAGAACATCCCAGCAATGCAGCCCAATGAGAACCGGACAGAGAAGGAGTCCGCCTAAATACAAGAGCGAGGACGCCCGTCAGTGTCCACAAAATTAGGGCTCGCAGAGGGCGTGCGGGCAATCGGCTTAAAGTGCTTGGCCGCAGCGATGCATCGTGCGGACACCATGCTCAACGCAGATTTACAATGTCTTTGATTTCCCAGCGCCTACCATGATCCCACATCTTCAGACTTTAGCAAGCTTGTGTTTCGCTAAGATCGTAGCTAAGACTCCAGCAAGATGACAGATCCACCCGAGGCCTTTTTGTGGGAGATGGTCAAGCAAGTATGCCTGGAACTTCAATCTGAGGTCTGAGTTGCACTGACACTTTCGAGGCACAATTGTTGGCGTGCTTGAAATGGCTGAGCGAGTTTGAAATCTTAGCAATCGTTCCAGCGCATGGCCAGGTGTCTTATCAAGATGCAGCAGATCTCGCAGACGTCCCGTTTCAACAACTCTCTCGCATTGTGCGTTTCACAGCCGCGTCGGGCTTCCTGCGAGAAATCGAGCCTGGTGCATTCGCGCATAGCAAGCTGTCTACACAATTCGCCGATAAATCATCTCTGCTCGACGGAATATCATTCGTGAGTGAGTGACCAATACTTTAGGAGGCCTAGGATCGTATCACTCATGGTGATTTGTGCTTCCAGATCTGCGACACAGTGTTTCCAACGGCGTTGCGGATGGCGGATGCGACTCGACACAACGCAGAGCAGAAGCAGCCACAGCTTTCCTCTTTCCAACTCGATTCACAGCATTCAAGGTCTTTGAGTGCAGCGTGCGAGGAGGGATCGAGACTTCGGCGCGAGTTGGAAGCATTTCAAAACATCCAGGATGATCTGGTAGATGGTGGCACTGCTGCAGTACTTCTATCACTGGACTGGGCAAAGCTGAGAGGCGCTACTGTTGTCGAAGTACGTATCGCACGAGTTGCGCAAGTCGATCGGACTGTGCTAACAGCTGGAGGTCGGAGCCAAGTCCATCACCACAGCATATGCGCTGGCTGAAAAGGCGAGTGAGCTGCAGGTGGTCATCCAGCTGCAAGAGACGGCAGCAAGACAGCATCCAACATCGAATGGAATGACTGCTACGCCGCAGACGGTAAATGCCCGAGTCCAAGTGCGAGAACGGTCACGAGGGGCTCCTCAACCCGTTCAAGACGCCGCGGTGTACGTGCTCCATCTTCCTGGCACATCATTGACGGCGTCTTCCAGCTCGCTGAGGGAGCAAATTCTGAGAGAGCTGCGAGCACACTTCAACGTGCTGCGAGTCAACAGGTCCGCCACCCTGATATTGGTTGCACGCCTGCTGCCAGGCGCAGGACAGCACTTCGAGCAGGACCCGGCGGCCGCAGCTCTCGTCCAAGATCTGCTGTTGATGCAGATGACGAATGAGCGAGAATGGGACCTGGAGATGCTGACAGAGCTGCTGGATGAGGTTTCAGACGCGTCTGGGCGGATGGTCATCACGCATAACCACTCGTCCAGAGAGAAACACTCTGCCGCCGTGGTGGAGGTGCAGCTGCGGCCGCGGTCTGCCAATGAGGCGCGCGTATTGTAGACATCCTCAGCGCTAGAGCCCAGGGGTATGGAGACGGGGTGGGGATGGCGGAGCGATGTCGTTTGTGGGTGGTGGAGGTACGTGAGGTGGTGGTGAACAGGTCTTGAAGTGAAGTCACATTTGCGTAGACTGGGCGCTAGGCAAACGGCCCGCCGACAGTTACCCGCTCCCGAGGACATCATTCTTATTAAATAGCTCGCCCTTCCTTCGTGCATCCACTTCTCACAAACAAGCGAGTCGACATGTCGGAGCCCTCGCCGCGTCCGACCAAGAGAATGCGCAAGGGCACCCGCAGCTGCCTGGAATGCCGCAAACGCAAGGTCCGATGCACATTCGACCACCATCATGGCCAGGCCCCCTGCGATGCCTGTATCGATCGACAGACGACATGTCAACGCCAAGAACATGTCCCTGCGGCAGAGGCGAGCGATCCTTCAGACAGCATTAGTCATCGAGTAGGGCGACTCGAGGCTGCCGTGGAGAGTCTCAGCGATACTGTCGCCTGGATGCAGACCACTCGGCCAAGTGGACCCTGCGAAAGCGCTGATTCTGGCAAATACTCACATGTCGCGAATCCCGATACCCGCGGAGATCAGGAATCGAGGGCTATCCTCAACGGCGAAGCTGTTATTACTCCGGGGGCCTTCGGCAATGACCACAACCGCAATGCAAACGAGACCGGCGATGATGCTCCGCCCGTCGGCACGGAACCTGCTTATTTGCACTCGCTGTTCAACAATCACGTTCTATCAACTGCGGAACGAGCGGGACAAGAGCATCCTCTTCCTCCGAATACCGAGTCCCGAGAGTCGATCTGGGCTGAGAAGGGTTCTGCGGACCTGTCCGCTCAAGTGCCGTGCTTGGCCGATGTGCGTGTCGTGGTGGCGTCCGCCGCCGATTGGTGGACGATTCACAATGCCGTACTGAGTCCGCTGTCCGTCGACAGCAAGCAGGCTTTGATCGATGCCCACCCACACCACCTGACGCCCGCGCCTTCCCCGACAAAAGTTGCCATGTGGTTGGTATATTTTGCCATCACGCTACTGCAATTGCCGCAGGACTTCGACTCCACAAGGTTGGGGTCAATCAAGGACCCGCACGGACTTGTGCAGCGCATCTTCACGCACGTGGATGATTTTCTCTCTGCTGACTCGCCCTTGCAGGCTCGCGATGGCATTGAGTGTGCCATTGTGCTTGCCAAGCTGTAGGTCATGTGCCCACTCAGCTTCAGCCATCGGATAGGGACTAATTCTTGGGGCTGTTTTAGTGCAAGTTACTTGGGTCGCCCAAGAAAAGCATGGTTACTTACACGTAGAGCTGTTACTTTTGCGCAGTTGCTAAACCTGGATCGGGCACGGCGACAATTTAGGAACGTCCAGGCTTCGGGCAGTATTGATTCACTCGCGGGTCAGCACCTGGAAGCAAGCGCAACAGTATGGGAGTCTCTGAGCGGGCTGGACCGCTTCCTCTCCTTGCTCTTGCATCTCCCTGCTGCAGCTCCCAGCACTCTGTCCAAGCGCGAGCAGACCGACCGTCGCGGCTCTCAGAACGTCCTCCAGCATATGATGAGCGAACAGTCTCATATTGCGAATCGCATTTGCTACCGGGATCAGCTTGATTCGGAGAGTGATGCTGAAGATGAGACGACGAGAATCATCGAAGATCTCTCAAAGCTAGAGCAGACTCAGACGGACACCTGGTGGGTTAATTTGCGTTCGTTATACCACTAAGTGAGAGATTGTTGGGGGTCTCCGGTATTGTGCCCTGAGGAACCGAGTTCCATCCCGCTCCGCGTCAAGATGAAGTGGGTGCTTGAGCAATTCTCGATTCGTCTCGCTAGGCAACAGCTTCAACATGCTGTCGCTATTGATCAAGAACCTCGAATTTGTCCTGCATCAGAGATGAATATCATCGATCGTCAGGTCGGACACTGCTTCCGAAGCTAACGTCGACAGAGAAGGTGATCATGGGTACCAAGGCTGACCGCTAACACTTTGCAGGTGGAAACTCGATCGCTCAGACATTCACGACATATCCACTGCAACGCCTGTGTTGTTGCAGATGGCCCATTACTACATAAAAATACGGGCAAACCTCCCATACTTGTTCCGAGCCAAGGACAATGCAAAGTTTCGAACCAACGCCTGGGCGTGCATGCAAGCTTGCAGAGATGTCCTTCGCCGATACTTCGCTGTCCGCACTCGATTGGCTGAAGGTGTTTTCTTGTCGCGCGCATGCGAGATTCAGGTCTTCCTAGCATGCGTCATTTTACTTTTGCATCGAGACCGTTCTTCGGAGTATCTACCGCCCACTGACAGCTGGGAATCTGACGCCACTCTCCTGAACAATACCAAAATCGCCATTGGCAAAGCTGCGGCCGGGACTTCTGACTCATTCACTGAGGTAAGACGTGGGAACCAGTCGTAGCACCACGCGCAAGCGTTCATGGAATGACAGATTGATGAGTATTGCATTGGCTGACTGTGTGCAGATGCTCATTTCGGCGCTTGATCAGATCGAGCACTGTCTGGATGCTGTCGATGGATCGAGAGTCGTGCAACTTCGAGTGCCTCTTCTGGGTACCATCTCTATCTCCAGAAGTGCGACCAACTTCCCTCCTCTCGAGAACCCGACTGTTCCCTTTTGGGCTATTCCTCCCATTATGTCGTCTGAGACTCTCGGGATTGATGAAGGAATATGGGATTGGCCGACCGACTTAAACACATTGGACGATGAGCTCTCGTTCTGGGCTGTGGACACTTCTCTCTCAGGCAACCCTTCCAACTTTTAGATACTTTGACAGTGCATAGAGGTCTGCGATGGGGTTCTGCGAGAGGCGACTCCTGGTTGACGCCCGAAACAAAACTTTTTCAAGCCTTGTTCTCGTCGGTCACCTGGGCCACTTCGTCTTCGCTAGCCACTGCTTTGAGCTTGGCGTCTACATTGATCTTCTTCCACTCTGCCATACAGCCGAGTACACAGCAAATCCCCGCACACCCAATGGCAATGGCATATGCACAACGCAAGCCGTGCATGTAAGCGTCTTGAACGACCTGAAGCTCAGACCCTGTGTAGCTATCGGCCAACGAACTAGCTCCATCGAGACTGAGAATCTGAGCAGTGTTGATGCTAGGTGCCATCCTGCGAAGATACTTGGTAAGCTCATTCGCAAAAATGCAATTCGCCGCCGAGACCCATATCGCACCACCCAGGCCTTGGAAAACTGCGATCATTCAGTATGAATCAAGAATGTAGAGATCGAGTACGACTTACAAACAACCATCGATGTTGCAGGCGCTGTGTCGGCTTTGTCAACGGATGCTTGCGTTGCCAGGAGAGGCGCTTGCAGCGTAATGCCCATGCCAATAGCCACAAGGATCTGATATCCGATCCATTTGCCTGCACTGGTATCGGGCGACCATGTGTATATTAGACCAGTGCCAATCGATGCCAGCAACGGTCCGAGGATGAGGTTTGGTTTGTAGTATCCAAATTTTCGGAGTATTCCACCAGAAATGATCAGAGAAATCGCTGCGACTGCATGTTAGTCGATGTCGCATTGGACGATGGGATCAAAGCTCTTACACATTGCAAGGACAAATGGAAGCAGTCGAACTCCACTGCTGGCTGCCGAAACGCCACGCACTGCCTGAAAGTATATGGGGATGTAGTAGAGCAATATGGAATACACTCCACTCGAGCTGCGCGGCTGTCAGAAATCTACACGGCAGCCTCGAAACCTCGACCAACTCACAAGAAAAGAAACGGGCATCCAATAGTCACAGCTCGAAATTTGAAAAGACGAGGCTGAAACAGTGCCCTCTCGCTCATCCAGAGCTCTTCTGCGACGAAGAGCGCAGCGACAAGGACAAAGCCCACCAGCAACCCTATGACCACTGATGAGCCCCAAGGTCGGCTCTGGCCTCCATACTGCACAGCAAGCAGGTAGCAGGTGACGGCGCCGATGATCAAAACGACGCCAAGTGGATTGAGCTGTCGCAGCTTTTGAGTCACTGGCATTTTGGGCGGCGCTGCTTGCTCTGGGGTCTTGTACAGCAGCAAAATGATCCCACCAGTCACGGCACCCAGGGGAAGATTGATCCAGAAGCTATTGCGTCCTGTTCAGCAAAAGACAACGATTCTTTTTCTTTTCGCGGATAACTCACCACCACCTCCACGTCACACCAGTCGTAAAAGCTCCTCCGACCAGTGGTCCAACACAAGCAGCGACAGCATAAAACACTCCCATCCCCGCAAGAAAAACAGGCCGCCACTGCGCGCTCACCGAGAACGCGGGGATCGTATAGACACCACTCTGCAACCCACTCGCTCCAACTCCAGCAATCGCCCTTCCCACGATGAACGCCGCTGAATTTGGTGCAACGGCGCAGATCAAGCTCCCAAGCTCGAAAATCACAATAGCAAGCAAGAACATCGATTTCAGCCAGAAAAACTTGTACAGTCTTCCCCATACTGTCTGGAAAGCTGCGGTGGTGAGGTAGAAAGAGGAGCCGTACCATCCGACGTCTGCGAGCGAGTCGAAGTCGGAGGTGATCTGTGGGATTGCGGTCGACACGATCGTGCCATCGAGTGCAGCGAAGAAGATGCACAGGGCGAGTGAGATGGCTGTCAGCCAGAGTTTTGTGCCTCGGAGGTATTCTGGTTCTGGAGCTGGCGTTTCGTTTTTGGCATCGTGAGGAGCTGTCGGAGTGGCTTTGTTCGAGTTCTGTCCCGCTTCAGTCATGTTATCGTTGGGCAGTGGGACGCTCGTCTCTGCCATTCCGTAAATGGCCGGCGAAAGCTTGTGGATTATTGAGTCGCAAAGCTTGACATTCGATAATAGAGCATCTCTGCTGATACCAAAATGTGAAGCACGACATAGAGCTTGCCTGACTGTGCCAAGCCGAAGCAACGGACGAGGCACGGCTGAGTGCTCGGCGGACTTTGGAGATAAGGGGTCCGAACAACAAAGGGATGGCAGCGGAGAACACGTAGCCTTCGCCGACAGGGAAAACGGAACATCGAGCGTTTGCTGATCTTTCGTGGTGAAATTGTCTGCTCTACTAATGCACCGAAGCCTCTGACGCGCTGTAAAAGGCGGAGATACAAGGAGCGAAGGATACTCTGCTTTCCCCTGCAAAGAATGCGGCGTTCCACATGGTGTGCTTCTAACTCTCGCTCTCGTCCGGTACGATCGCCGTGGTGACGGCGTGTCAGTGGAAAGGTGAACTGGCGAGCTCCGAGAACATCAAATGAGAGCTGGTGCGTCCTCCACGGAGTGTTCTCCATCAAATGCACTCGATCACTCCAATGCCGTCATGAGACCTATTCGATCATTTTAATTGCAGTGTCCTCAATACAATGTAAACATGAGTCTCGAACCTTCTCGAGTCAACTACTCGAAGTGAGCACAGCGACAACCATCGACAAGTCCACGTCCGTAGATGCAACATTCTAGGATCAATGCGGGTGTTGATTGAACGATCACTACACGGCACAGTCCATCAATTCAGCTGAGTCATAAGCAAAGACTGGATTATTGACGAATGAAGCTCAGCCATTTGGGGCTCAGTGTAGTCGTGTCGTACATCTCAGGTCCTGCGATGCATTGCAAGCTACAATTTTTCTTAAGGTCGAGCCATGCCCGAAAAGTGAGTTGGCTGTATTATACTGATGCACCTGTCACTTTAAAGATTTGATGTAGGTGATATCTCGGTGCTATTCGATCATGTAACGAGCATTGAGTCCTTCAATCATCTGCCATCGGCGAATGGTGTTCCTGCTGTAGCATTCCTGATTTTGGTATCTGCTACCGTGGATTCTTTCTGTTGCTTGCTCTCATCCTAGCGGCATTCCATCGAATGGATGATCAATTTAAAGTGGATCTTGCCGCCGACGCTTAGTGCCGCTCCCAACGGACGTGACACCGAAGGAGCTCGTCTCCGCACAGGGTCCATGAGACATAAATAGCCGGCCGAATGTTCATTCGACCGAACGAAGCAAACAATGGAATGACGTGCGCCGTCGTTTCGGGTTTGACGGCGGACTTAGGCTTGCACCGACTCTCGTGCGCTTCGCCGACAGAAGTATGCGAGCCGAAATGTGAGCTGCAACCCACACATGTAAGGTACATCTGTCTGCCCGAGCTAAGTTGATCGAAATCCTTCGAATGTAAACCAGCTCCTCCATCTTTGTCAATGAACGCCATCCGCAACGCAGTCAGCGGTTCAGTCAAAAGCTTCAGAATGCCTACTCTTGTCGGAAAGCAAATCAGTGGCAATGGCTTGGGCCTTATGCGTATGTCCTGCGCGACCACGTTGCAGAAGTTGCGAGAGAAATAACCTTTCTCAGGCCTTACCATGCCACAGTTTCAGCTGTCTGATGACGAGACGTTCAAGGTATTGAGAGCAGCACTTGACGCTGGAGTGAACGTCTGGAATGGTGCAGACTTCTGTAAGCGCACGTCTTCTAATTCTTGTAACAATTGGGTAACTGACCTGTCAACAGATGGAACTCCACAAGCCAACACTCTTCATTTGCTCAACAGATACTTCTCAAAGTACCCAGAAGATGCAGACAAAGTCATACTTTCGATCAAGTCGGGCCTGAAGGATCGCGCCACGATGGAAATGGACTGCACCCCCGAGGGTCTGAGGAAGAGCGTTGATAATGCAATCTCTATTCTCGATGGCAAGAAGGAGATCGATATCTTCGGACTGGCAAGAGTAGACCCGAACACTCCGATCGAGGACAGTGTCAAAGGCTTGCTTGCGCTCAAGGAGGAGGGCAAGTTCAAGGGTATTCAAATCACTGAAGTCCGAGCGGAAACCATTCGTCGCGCCGCAAGCGTTGGCAAGGTGGACATGGTGGAGGCGGAAGCTAGCCTCTGGTCGCCTATGGTCTTTGAGAACGGCGTCGCCCAAGCTTGTGCCGAGAACGACATTGTGCTCGTGGCCCACACTCCACTGGGCATGGGTGCACTTACCGGGCAATTCAAGAAGCTCGACGACATTCCAAAGGAGAACCCAATCCGCTACGTCCCACGCTACCAGCCCGACGTCTTCGAGAACAACGTAAAGCTCGTCAATGCTGTCGAAAAGCTTGCACAGAAGAAGGGATGCACGACTACTCAGCTCGCCCTGAACTACCTCAAGCAGCAATCGAAGCGATCAGGAATGCCAACTGTCATTCCAATCGCTGGCGCTCGGGCTGAAGAGCGTGTCAAGCAAAACGCTGTAGATGTGGAAATTTCTGAAGAGGAGTTCAAGGAAATTGAGAGCTATCAGAAGGAATTTCCGATTGAGGGGCTACGCACAATGCCTCAACTCCAGGTACGCAACGAGTACTGAGTCCGGTAGGTAGCGATGGTCGAGTATGAATTGAGACAGGATGAATTAGTGTGAACACTAGACATCAAATGCTACTTAACGATGACTGTTCGGTATCATTTGTTCGCATTTCCTGTGATTGTTCTAAATGATCACCTACGCTCCGCCTAGTAGTATGCCAGTCACGACTCACCCGTTTGCGGCCATCGGAATTTACCGTATCAAGATCCACTTCACGACGGCCGATGGGCTTCGGGCGTCGAACATCGAACATCGGCCTCATCGTTATATCTGCAGTTCTCGGTGCGGTATCATGATGTAAGACCCAACTTTCCTTCCTGCTGTTCGTCGATTGCACCGCTGAAGTCGAGTCCATGGCAGGCTCAGCAGATCTTCAGAGTCTTGGATCAAAGGTTTCCAGCCTTACCACAATCCTTGCAGCTCAACTGGAGGCCGGCAAACATCCCAAACCTTCGTTCCAAAAGGATGGGCCTGCATCGTATCCCTCAGATCCAGCCATCCAGGTTCCACGACATCAGCTGATTGACACTCTCAATGATCTACTTCTGCTTGCCACTGGGGCAAGCGACTACTTTTTCCTCCATGGCGGATTGTTTGTAAGTGAAAGTGCACAGTCAGATTGAGATTTACGTTCGTACCAACGTACCTTCTATTACAGATCAACCATGAGAAGACCACGCTGGATATCATGAATCAGTTTGATTTCTTCTCTCGTGTGCCTCTGGATCAGAGTGCAAGCTACAGCGAGGTCGCTGCTTCTCTGGATATTCCTGAAGACATAACTAGACGCACGTTTCGATATGCGTTCACGATGCGCATCTTCGCCCCAGATCCACAAGATGACGACCGTGTAATGCACACTGCGTTCTCGGCACACATGGCCCGTAATCTACTTCTTCGAAGCTGGGTAGGCCATGCACTGTAAGTTATGTTGCTTTTGAGTCCATCAAGCACACTCGCTGACTCCTGCCGTTCAGTGAGGAGGCTGGTGGCGCAAGTCATCACGCAGCAGATGCTTTGCGCAAGTTCAACAGTGGCAGATCCAGTCTGTCTCAAGATCTTCATGAGACTCCTTTCGGATTGTCGTGGCCACGACTGAATGACGGCAGGTTGGCGGACTATTGGAGTGTTGGTCAAGACGATCCGAAGGAGGCATGGAGAGCACAGCGATTCGCTGAAGCCATGCAAGCCTCTGTCTTGAGTGGAGTAGTGCAGGCGGATGAAGTCGTGACTAAGTACGATTGGAAGAGTCTCGGGTCCGCATCGATTGTTGATGTAAGTGGCAAATGTGATGCTTTGCCTCATTACCATGTATGCTAACACCGGACGTAGGTTGGCGGATCTGATGGCTCTTTGGCTGCATTGCTTGCCCGTAAACATCCCAGCTTGCGCTTTACCGTGCAAGATCTCCCTCGAGTCAAAGAAGAATTCATCGCTCAGGACTATTCCGACATTGCTGATCGAATAATCTTCAAGGGACAAGACTTCTTCAAACCTCAACCTGAAAAGGCCGATGTTTTTCTGATGAAGCATGTCCTGCACAATTGGCCGGACAAGTACGCCGTCAAGATCTTGCGCAATCTCGTAGCAGGTCTAAACAGCGGAGGTCATATCATTATTTGTGACAGTGTTGTTCCGAGTGAGAAAGAGGCGGAGGACCTACCAATTAGTGTGAAGAAAACCATTGCCGCGGCAGACATGCAAATGTTTGTGATGCTCAATTCCAAGGAGAGGACGGCGAGAGATTGGACAGACCTGGCAAAGAGCGCTGATCCCCGATTGAGGGTCGCAGCTTTGCATGCAGTGCCTGGGGCTGTAGTCAGTCTGCTGGACCTGGTGTTGGATGAGTAATATAAGATATCTCGTCATTTCTGCTCGAATGAAGACAGATTGGGGCAGTCAGAGAAATTGAGCGTTCATTGTGGCAGTATCTCACTTGACTATATAGGTTCTCACTGATCAAAACCATTAAGCATTCTCTGACGATCCCTCTCATGTTCACAACCTGGAGAGAACGGTCACTGAATGCTCAGAATCTTTCAAATCATGGTGCAAGGCCTGCATGAATAATCGTAACGCTCGAAAGTATCCTACTTGTGGCTTGCCTACAGTTTTGAGACACAACACGTGGACACTCGTAGTTGACTGATCTGACCAAAAACCATAATTGACTTCGGATGCCGGAGAGAAGGATCTCGGACTCGTTACTACGGGAAAGGGAATGTCCGGAGACGAGACTTCCGAAGTAAGCCTCGGTCTAACTCTTCTCGGCCGAGCGAGGCGACAGTGTTGTTACTCCTTTCATCAAAGACATTCATAAGCCTGTCCAAGGACAAAAGAAAGGATTGGACTTTAACGCCACAGCAGATCTTTGCAGTGAACAGCAGACACTTTCAACATGAGTAAGACCACGAAGACCGAAGCGTTCGAGGCGCTTACTTCTATTTTACCTTCAAGAAGTGCCGATGAAAACTACTGGTGGGATCTCACGGGTCCACAGCTGGCTGCATTGGTCGAAGGTGCCGGTTATGCGCCAGCAAAGCAATATGAAGCTTTGTTGTTTCACTATCACTGGATGGTAAGGTTCTTGCCATGCTCAACAGGAGCTCTGTCCTGATCAATTCTGCAGGTCCCCTACATGGGTCCCGCCCCATGGGCGCCAAGTATCGATCTAAAATGGAAGTCTCTCCTCCAACCAGACGGCACTCCGATCGAATATTCCTGGAAATGGAACACAACCACGAGCGAGCCAGACATTCGCTACGACATCGAACCTATTAACAACTTTTCGGGAACGCAGCATGATCCTCTCAATCAGTCCGCAAGCAGGGAAATGCTCCACCGCCTCGATGTAAAAATGCCGAGCGTCGATCTGCAATGGGCTAACCACTACTTCAACACTTTGTACGATCATGACAACGCTAAGTACAACGAAGAGCATAAGTCGGGCAAGAAGGCATTCGGCACCATCGTCATTGCAGCAGAGTTTCTGCCAAAAGGTCTCCGCTTCAAGACATATTACCTCCCACGTAAACTTGGTCAAGGTGCCACTCCAAACCTGAGTGTCTTCACATCATCTGCACGCCTGATCGATCCAGACAGCAGAGCAATATCTGCTCTTGAAGAATTCCTCTCCACCAGCGAAGAAGGGAAACTTCTTAAGCCATTCAGTGTGGCCATCGATAATGTTGTTCCAGAGAAGTCACGTCTGAAGTGGTATTTCAACTCTCCACATACCAACTTCAAGGCTCTAAACGAGGTCATGACCTTAGGTGGCCGTATCAAACGTCCCAAACTCGAAGGCCAACTCACAGCATTGCAAGACTTATTGAGGGGAGTGTTGTCGCTGCCAGATGACTATCCTGAGGACCAGGAACTTCCAAATGCAGGACAAAACAACCGTGTCGCAGCCGGAGAGGACGTCAATGACACCGCTCCTCCTCTGCTACCCGGTTTCGTGTACTACTTCGATGTCGCGCCAGGCTACCAACTACCGGAGGTCAAGTTGGCGTTGCCACTAATTACTTTCGCCCAGAATGATGCGAGTGTGGCGAAGAACACTGTCGCGTGGATGGAGGCACGTGGTCGAGGAGCCTATGCAAAGAGCTTCATGACAATGCTGGAAAAACTGGCCAAGGGGAAAGATCTGGCTAAAGGGAAGGGTCTGCAGAGTTTCATTAGTGTCTTGTTGAAGGAGGACGGAGATCTCGATGTCACGACTTACTTCGCACCACAAGCGCTTGCTCTTGTGGAAGAGGAGACGAACGGTGGGCACTAGGCATCTCGCTTGCTATCAACACTGAATCCGTCACTTGGCTACGTGACCGACCAGTCGCTATCAATTCTTTCCAAGCTCCACAAGATTTCACAGTATTGAACAACTCATCCATTCCATCGCAAGCTGTCTGGGAATGTCCGCACATTCTTCGGGGCGGGAAAGGAATGGACTATGCCCACCCGCAAGAGTGAAAGTCGTCCAATTTGTCCGGCACGCCTCATTTGCATGGGCAAAGAACGACTCTTGTCTCGTAAGGGGCAGGGCTCTGTCATATTCGGTGAAAATGTATGCGCATCGGTATTGTTCCCATGGGCTATGCCTTATTTCCTGCGTGAATGCCGACATTGAACTCAGGGAGACATGCTGAGCAGCTTCTTCCGCCACTGTAGAAGCAATGTCGTGGTAGAAAATTGATATAGGATCGGGTACGCTGGCCACATGATCCTTGGACCTATCAGCCTGGAACTTCAGTGAAGCATATGATGTTAGAGTCTCGTACCTCAACTCGTGAAAAAGGAGCCATAGCACCATTCGTGTCCGTAAGGAGGGCTTTCCCGGCAGGAACCAAAAAAGCGCACATGTATACTAAGCAGTGCATCTTCGCCTTCGCATGATCACTTAGCTCTGCAGCTGCTTCGCCTCCGGGCATACCGCCATAGCTATGGAAGACCGGTATCACTTTGTCGGATGTGATCGCTGCCCTTTCCAAAGCGGCCTGGACCACTTCGACATCTGCTCGTAACGCACCTTCGCGGAGTACTTTGTCGACGTCGGGGCTGACAGAAGGTAGATCCACTGTCGATACGGTGTAGCCAGAGTCTGTCAAGTTTGACGCAAGGAACTTCCAGTGCCATGATGTATGCCATGCCCCATGTACGAGTACAAATTGGGCCCCAGACATGCTCGACTGCTTTTTATTGTGTCAATCGAGAGATTGAGGAGGAGGATGAAGTTGTTCGCGGAGAGACCACGATGATATATATTACAGTTAGCAAATGCATCGGAGAGTCAGGCGAGAACACCAGAAGCAATTAACTGCCCGTGCATGAATCATGAACCTCATTTCACATGTCTAGACGGGGCACACCCCTGGCGAGTCCACCATGGACATAACAAAGCTTATCAATGACTTGCCACACCAACACTCAACTCATCCGCGTCGGGATGCCGCAGGCCTCATCTGCTAGAAACCACTCGCCTGCCATGCCAGGCCGTTCGTTGCGATGCACATTGGGCACTTCACTAGCACTCCGTCCCTCGATTTCGTTCTTGAGTTCAGGAATGAGTTGCGCAGTTGTCTTGTAGCGAGGCAAAAGGAAGTGTACAGTGGAATGTCGACAACCCTATTGAGTTGAAACAGGACAGAACGGGGACAATTTGTAACGACAAGGCTTATCCAGGCATGATCAGTCATCATTCTCACGTGTCGATCGAATACGAAACTCTATACAAGAGCTTCGTCGAATATTCTATTCCAATGCCACGGGTACTACTGCTGGTCCAGTCTGAGAGTATGATCTGGCTATACTGCACATGTAAAGGCGATACTCGCGCGTATTACCCCGAAGAGGGGTCCATCGTAGTCACTTCGACAGATCTCTTCTCGCTGAATGAATGTCTTTTAGTACGAGATTGCAAAGTAGAAGGGACGCTGCACAGACTTTCGTGACCTAAATACATTGGAATTCTGGATCAGCACTTAGAGGTATCATCTGCGGACCAATCCGAATCTTTGGACAGACTTTGTGCATGGATTCATATGCCCCAAAGCGACTCAATTTGTATCATGGACTAATGCAATAGCTTCTCTCGTAGACGCTCCTATTCTATCAGGAAGCCAGCTTCATGTATTAGGTCAAGTCGGAACTGTCTCAAAGTTCCTAATTAGCACGGTGAATCTCTACGCGCAAGCAGAAACCTTTGGATCATGTGACTATCGCTGTCCGAACTGAGGGGCGTCCGTGATGGACGACAAGGACAACCAATCAGTGTACTGTATGTTACCCCAGGAAGATTGTTCAAGATATTGCCAGCGGTGGAAGTGAAGTCAGATTGGAAGTAAGTTGTTAAGATTACGGACAGAAGCTTAGCACGAAGATGCTTGCCGACCACCTTCGACGCTGTCGCGGCGTCGACACTCAATGTAATTGCGGAACTATACCTAGCACAGCTTAATTCCGGACGATACACCTGGAAAGGGTAAGAACAGTAGACAAAGTGCAAGCTGAGTGCTAGTACAGAGTGCCATGATAGAAACAATCATATAGCTGAAATGTCAGAGAATTATACAAGCTATGTTAGGTTTCCGAAACCGAAGATTCCAGTTCATTTCTGTGAGATCTGAGTGTGAGAACTTTGCGGTTCGAAAGTCGACAGCGTTTATCACAGCAAGCTTCGGGGCGGAATGCTTGAAAGGAAAGCTTTGCTGACATCCTACACTGGCCGGCTCGGAGGAGTATGCACTTGCAGCAACGCAAAACTTTGTTCAACCAGAGCTCGTCATATGCTCCCTGTCCGTAAGCTCGGATTTATGAAAGGTGTTGGATGACTAAGATGGTATCGCATGTCTGAAGGCGCGGAGTTAGGAGGTGACGGGACGGAGTTGCTAAAGGTGTCTATGTGTAGCCTCGCAACCTAAGGATTTGTTAGTGTTCTCGCATATCGCCTACAGCCATGCCCTATATTCATTCAAAAGCCAGCAGTTCCGGCGATGCCTTTCCCGATTATACGCCCAGTGAAACTGTCTGATGCCGATCAAGCAGCTTTCGACCGCGATCTCAAGGATGTGCACCTCTGCTATGATTACCACGTCAAGACTAAGACAGGATCAATAGATAAATGGCGATACGAAGTCTGGTATCCTAGCTCATCAAGAGTCGTCTATGCGATGCATGGCGGACCAATGGCCGGCCGAAAGAACTTCCAGACTGCCAGCTACCAATGCATCCGTGAGGGCGAGCTTTGGCAAATCAATTGGCACGAAGGTGAACCCAAGTTATACGTGCTTCCAATTCGATCAATTTTGTCTAACAGAAAATCTAGAAACTGGCACAATTGGCTCTTCTGCATACGATATTACTCGGAATAAGTACTACACCATAGTAGCCTTTTCCAAAGGACACTAGGAGAATGCTAAAGCTGCGCACGGTAATAAGCGTAATCCAGAAGATTTTCAAAGATGGAGAGAACTAGCAAAGATCGGAGTCCACACGGACAGAATCATACTGAACGAGCAGGCTGATATTGTGGAAGTGTTTAAGGGACTAGGTGACTTGGAGCCTATTACTGGCGATGAGGACACCTTGTAGGAACAAGCTTTAGCTAAGCATGGTTAGTGGTATGAGATATCTTTCGAGTCGCTCTGGCAGCAAATCAGCACTGGAGGAGCTATGCGTGGCGATTGACGAAGAGCGGATCGGTCCCTTTTAGAGATCGAGTTCGGCGTCAGCATCGGTTCCTGATCATGTCTCTCAGCGTCGATCTTGTTGTCATTGGTATGGCGATCTTGCTCACTGATCAGATATCGTTTGTCCCATGTGTGACTGGTCGTGTTTACCTTGTTCAAGTGGAGACGTGTGCGGGTGTCTGGTTGCGGCGAAGCACGATCTTTGCCCTAAGAGGACAGACTTGGCTTTGCGAACGGAGTTATAGCAAAGCTTGCTGGCGAGGTATACGAGAAAATGAGTATCGGCTTTCATTCCACGCTAAATATGTAGGCAGGACCATAAGGCGGCCTCGTGACCCCAATATATACCATCTCATCCGCGCAATGCTGACCCGATTGTCTACACTCGCTATGTTCTCACGGGCATGCACTTGGCATGTTTGTGACATCAGGCCTGACTCCAATGGCTTGACGCTGGAAAATGTCCTGTGAGCCGAACTCTGAAGCTGCATTGGCGCTTAACGGACATAGTTCCTCCTTCATTTTATTCGAACCCAAAACCATTCGCAAAATTACTCGCAGTCTCTATGGATCTGCGTGCCACGCGGAAGATCGTCAGTGGTCTGTCAGCACACCAACAAGAATAATCGTTTCTACTTACCTAATGAGGAATATTGTCAAAGCAATGCTTCCTGCCACGTGTATCGCAATAGTGCGCGACACAAGCGAGCTGATCGCCGTCTCCTTTACACTCGACACCGAGGTTGACTGGAACATTACATGCGGCGCAGGCATCGAATGTCATACCGAAGTCGGCCGCTCCAGTCTTGCAATTATCGTAGTCGTTGGTGGCACTGCAATACATCGTGCGTATGGCCCCATTTGGAGCGCCATTCGAACCGGCAACGAGGCTAGAAATTATTGCAGTGAGCAGTGTATATCGCATGTTGGCGTCCTGAGAGAGATTGTTCTGTGAAGATCGATGATGGGTTCGGGAAGGAGCTGTGACGTGATAGGATGGCAAGATGGAATAGCAAAGGTGAGTGGAGCGCAGTTATGTAGTAGACTGGTACCGTGCTCTTCAGGCTTCGTTCACGCCACTTTATCACTTTCCAGTTTGTCAGACATGTCGGGAGAACGCAGAGCAGGGTACATATCGACTGCAAGCCACATTTAGCACCAATTGTAACATTTGATCGTCCCTCGGATCCCCCATGTTCGTGTGACGCGGTGTAGGATGTGCTCTAGCGGCTCTCTGAGTCTTGGACTTCCCTGAAGGATATCCGTATCGGTGGCGATACGGTCCTGAAATATACTCTCCAGTGACAAAAGCGTCTCGCCAAGACCTTGATTACTCTTCATTGATTTCCAGTGGCGTCTCGAATCCTGGCTGGATCTCGTTTCTTCAGATCCAGACTTTCGGAAGTCGCGGGTCTGTGGGTGTGATGATACATCTCCAGGATCTTGTTTGAGACACGATGTACCGATAGTGTCGCATCATTATACGAAGAATCGGCTCTTAAGGCCGGTCTAGGGGTTGAATATACCTCCGCTGAGCTCGCACGAGGGACTTCAGAGCGCGACGCCACACGTCCACTGCCTGATTCATCTTTTCGGTCGTTGACGGCAATACATGAGAATCCAAGTCCTATGCAGTCCAGATCGCTCGTCCAGCCGAGATACCAGGTTTGGCTTTCGGTCATTGAGAACCACCTTCTAGCGCCAGTTCATCAGAGAGGGTTCCGATAGTGGATCTCGAGCATAGACATTGGACACAGACAAGCAATCGAAGCATGGTTCCGGCCTTTGCTTGTTACGCCGCGCCGCTCGGCGATATGCATCGAAACGCGTGGCGTCTGCCTGGTAATCGGCGTCAAAGTGCCATGCTCTCACATCGTTGCTGGCTCGAGAGCCTTCCTCTGGAATTAGGCCATATTCAGCTCTCAGATCGTCAGGTATTCCCCCAATCAACACCAACGGTAGGTTATGTCTGGCTGTCAATAGTATAGCCACGGTGCTGAGGCTGTACGAATAAAGACCCAAAAGCTCTTCACCCGAATCGAAGCAAGCTCGGCATTGTGACAACCATATGCGCTTTGCTCGTATGAGTTCACCGGGCTGGTTGGCGACTGGGTGAAAGAATGTATTGAAACAGAGGCTGAGAGATATTTGTCCATCTTGCATGCTGAATGGGCGCAAGCCAGGACGCTGCACACGGAAATCGCTAATCGCTAATCGCAAAACAGTCACAAGGCAGCACTTCCTGCAGTCCTACCCAGGGACCGCTTCCCATCGCCGTACACTAGAAACATTTTCGTTAGCATGCGAACCCGTCCCCAATACTCCAAGCAACGAGATCGACATACCAGCTGCTAAACATAACATGGTCTCCTACCATTCTGTTCGCACATTGCCGCAACACATGCAATCCGCCGTTCTGGACCACCACATGTCGTTCCACCCTGGCCAATTCCACGACTGGTGCAAACTTTGGCAGTAAGTCCTGTATCAACGCCCCCGAGGCACCAGCCAGGAGTCTGAGCCGTGGCGCGAAATATTTTTCGTGCTGACGCGGTCGAACCAAACAGCAGGCCGGAGATGATTGCGGTAAGGATCGTGATTCGCATGGTTGCGTCTTGCGGTCGACCTCGATATCGCGGATGTCGTGACGGTGTTCTTGCGAAAGGGAAGGTGATCGGATTGAAAAGTTGAAGGGGGCAAGTATAAAGGGGACCGCAAACAGCTTTGTCCGTAGGACTTGTTGTTAAAATCAAGCCGAGCCTTAGCTCGTGGTTTACCTGGTAGAAGATCGTGTCGAACCTAGTCTTGTTCGAAACGACGCTCCTAGTAGTAATGTCCGAAACGATATCTACCTGTAAGAAGGCCGTCTTGGAAAGCCTGAGCCTCCTGCCAAGGTTATGACTACTCTTCATCAGAAACTAGCAGCATTGCTAGTCGAGAGCAACTCATATTGGACAGCGTCCAGATCTCCGGCAATAGGAATATATATGGCAGTTTCTCAGTCCACTTGCGAGATACGATGTATTGTCTCGGACTAGCAAGACGTTCCGCTGCACATGCTGATGACCTGGTGCTGACCAGGAAGAGCCGAAACATTTTAGAAAATGGTTTGGAGGATGGGTTCCCTCATGGGAAATGCCAAACGGTTTGATCGAAGCCTGATGGTGTTTGCAGACGGATTGTGATCACAAGAACGATATATCGTGCTGCGTGGAAATGGTCCATGTATGCGACTTCTCTTTGATCGAATTGTTTCGCCCGAACTTCGGCAAAAATTTCACCGCAGGATTTCGTTCTTCAACAACGTCAAATGGTGGACACCTGCGCACAGCACTGTGATCCATACAAAATCGCGCAGTCGTCAATGTGAAAAGTGTAAAGCAAGGTGTTCTGGCCCGGTTCCTTGCTCGAAGGTAGCATGTCCGCGATTTTTCGCAAAATTACCCTGGCCGCCCCGGGCCAAAAATGAAGCCTCAACAATGCAAAATTCAACGCCTACTACGTCGTATACAGCAAAAGAATGGACGCGCTGGGAATTGAACCCAGGACCTCTTCCACTCATGCCGTTGCAAGCAACAGATGCTAAGGAAGAATCATACCACTAGACCACGCGCCCGATTTGTGTTTATGGGGTGTGTACCTCAATTGGTGGACAACGATGATACTTCTCCCAATATACACGCCCATCCTGCTGTAGAAGTTTAGATTCGAGACTTCGAAGGCCATTGTTGTTGGAAGAGCTGATGTCTGACATTGGAATTTTGGGTTCGCGGTGGGATGGTAGACTTGGCATGAGCGGCTCTGCAAATTCCTTGCGTCTGTGCTGATGTGCTGGAACGTGCAGTGTCAGAGACTTTGTTGATTCGATTCTTCGTAAAGCTGAAGGTCGTTGCGATAATCCCACTGAGCAGGACTGCGGCACAGAGCGTGGTGTAGCAGTCGAGCACTGCCTTAGCTGTGATCAGGCTGACTGGACTGATTTCTCTTGAGAAGTCGCGAGCGATCACCATTTCGGTTTACTGCTCATTGGAACCGGCGGAGGAGCTTGTCCGCTGTCACTTCCATTCGGCGGCTGACCTGACTGCAGACCTGCTTTCTTCGGCGGCGGTGGAGGCGGTGGTTTCTTCTGTGCAGCAGCGGCAGGAGAAATGACTCCACTCTCTTGCCCTGCTGGAGAATGGGCAGAGCCTCCAGTGCCCATCCTCGCAAATCTCTGCTGCAACTCGTTGAGCTGGCCACCTTGGCCCTGACCTTGCTGATGTTGAGAGCCGAAGCGTGCCGCAGCACCGGAAGCGAAAGACGCAGCGCTTTGCACCTGTTGTGCCGAAGGAGTAGGAAGCTGTTGTCCTGATGCATTATTAGATCGGCCGATACCAAAGCCAGGGACAGAGACACCTGCACCAGCCAATCTGCCTGCAGCGCCTTGATTAATGGCAGCGGGATCTTGTGTTTGCTGCTGCTGCCTCTGCTGCATCCAAGAGGTCGCAGCTTGTGAGCCAAATTTTGTAGCAGCATTCGTTGCAGCGGTCTCGAACTTGTTCGATGTAGGCTGCGCAGGAGGGGAAGGCGCATTCAATGCTTCACCATAAGTTGGAGGTGGCGCGGGTGTGTGTTCATCGGGATACTCATTCTGTCTGGGCGGGAGAAAAGGCGGAGGTCCGCTGCTGCCACTATTCTGTGACGCTATCGTTCCTGTCGTCTGACGAGAAGGCGATGGCGGAAGAGTAGCCTGTCTCGGAGGAACTCTTGGCGGTAGAGCGGGCGAAGGTCTAGGTGCTTCAATGGCTGCCGTTCCACCACCGCCAACAGCATAGTGCCTTGGAGGCGGCGCAAAGTTCCTTGTATCGATTCCTGTCGTGTCTTTCTTGTATGGCCCTCTTTCGCGATTCAACTCTTCTTGCTCCCTCCTCTCTCGCTCCTCCATCTCCCTCTGCCGCCGCTCCTTGTATCCGGTCTCCACTATTGGCGCGCCAAGGCCTCCGCGATGCTCAGTCGGAATCTGCGACAAGCTCTGCGGTATACCAGCTGCGAGCGACGAGCCTGCTGCAGCTCCCGTCTTCTTCCGCTCCACCTCAATCGGATTCAGCGGCCTGCCATCCTGATCATAGTGAGACCGAGCTTTCGGCGGAGGTCCGAACGAGTCCGGGTCTCGTAGACTGGTCAACGGCGCCGACGTGTGATTTCGCTGCTGCTCATATGGATCCTTCTTCTTCCCGGTTGCGATGCCTTTCAGATCGGATTTCCATGTTTCTTTCTTGATTGCGCGATCGTTGGAAGGATGCCACCCTCCCTTCAGCATAGCCTTGCCGTCGAAGGGCATGATGGATGATACTGCCTAACTGAGGCGTTGCGGGCGACTGGAATGTTTGGGGAGTAAAGATGCTTAGGAATACAGAACTGCTTGCGTAGTTGCTCCAGGCTGTGCTCGCGTGCATGTGGTGTCAGATTCGGTGACGTAGGGCGGAGCTGGAACAAGGCTCATTCCGAGACCCGCTTCTTTCGAGGAAGATCGTTTACACGGCGGTTATGCCTCAGGCACCATAAAGACTTCACTTTCCCGCGCCGAAACCTCAACTACTTCTCTCCGGATGACCATATTGCAGCAGGTATCCTGACCTCTTTCCAATCCCTCTTTCTGCACCACCAGTTACTGGGCTAGCCAGCAGTAGAGACTTGGCGTATTCGGCAAGTGCATCATACGGCGAGACTATCTCTACGAGCGAAACTCTAGGCTAGGTTGAGTATGCCAAGCCTACACTTCCTTACACAGCGGCCGCGTATTCACAAGCTACATCCTTACATAGGCCTTGCAAGGACAAATACGCTTTATGGGATGTATCGTATCATCCAGGGCTCGGTAGATCCTTAGCCGGCCTCAGCATAAGACCATCTACGGTCCAGACTTCCTTCTTCGGACCCAGCGTTAAGCATTTGGGCCTTCCAAAGACCCCGCAAGTAGAAGTGTCTCCGCCGAGCAAAGATGTCACACTTTGAGACCAATGGGATGCTCCTACAAAGCGAGATGAAGGCTCCCGCCGGAAATACACACATCTCACCCTTTCACAGTTCGTCCTATGCATTCTGGGATGCCGAATTGAAGCAAAACTCAAAATTGAGGCCAAATGTGGCCTTCGGCGTTGTCCGAACGCACACGAATCATGGTGAGCAGACTGTAGCTCGCTAAAGCCGGATGAGGCCCCATGCTCGTGAAGGAACAAACATTTCGCACACCATGTCCTGCTAACAAGCAACGTCCAGTGATGCTTATTAACGGAGAGAAAATAACAACGAACATAGCGACGAAGTTCTAGTCCGCTGCGTCCGGAGCGTCCGCACAGTCCGCAACGAATCAATGATACGAATTCATCAGCATGAACCGTCTTCGAAATGGCTGGTGACAACAGACCTCTGCTGACCGAGACCCATAATGTTTGATCGGAGAGTGGACATATGTTGGTGCCGCGTCTAAAGTTAGGGACCTTCCATTCCGCTCCGTTGCCTGTCTCCAATCAACGGCACTGGCGATTACAGCGATGAGTGATCCAAAACTCCACGGGATACTCAGCACTGCGGTCTCTGGAAATCATTTGGTTACAGTGAACAACGTCTGAACCGCCCATCGTCGTCTCCATAGGAAACACTTGCATCTTCGTGGTAAGGTCATGATCCATCTCTCCTCAAGGAACCATGTCCGTTGCGCTGCGGACTACGCGCCCGTTTCCACGCAGTCTACTAATCCGGTCTCCGGTTCTGCCATGCCGGATCAGTAATCGACACCTAAAAGCTTGAGACATGTCTGGATACGAAGACCTCCAGATCTTGCGCTCTCCACGCTGCCTTTCTGACAAACATGGAGACATACAGTCGCCATTTTATCATGTATCAGGATGCCATGTGGAACTGCTAGAATATCCAGCGGGAGGTAGAAGACTATGGACCTTCTCTTTGCTGTGCTTTCATGGAGCCGTGTCAACCATCGCAGGCACAATGGTCACTGAGATGCAGGGCCTACCCTCACTCCTTCGCCGGGCAGAAGTGAACGACTGAATTCGCCTCCGTTGTTCGCAGCATCATCACGAACACCCAGAAGCGTCATTACTCAAAATGCCTCACTTTAGGATAATTCTGCTGCACGGACATAGGCAGCTGACTCTCGTGTGTCGCTGCATGGTTCGCTTCTCGAACAACATGTTGGAGCTTTGCAGATGGAATTTGCAGGCCGTCGCTTCCGATTGGGATGACAACTCTCTTCCGGCCCCAATTCGACATTTGCGCTCGTATTTCACGGCGAGCTGGACGAACTCTCGCGCGTGC